TGATAATTTGTGTCTTCTTTTTTATCCTGATAATTCCACCCAGAGGCTTATCAATTTTATTGATCTTTTTTAAGAGCCAGCTTTTGGTTCTATTGATTTTCTCTATTATTTATCTGCTCTTATATCATTGTTTCTTCTCTTATCTTTATTACTTCTTTCTTTCTGCTTATTTTGGATTTAGTTTGCTCATTTTTTCTGTTTTCTTAAGGTAGAAGCTTAGATCATTGCCTTGAGATGTTTCTTCTTTTCTAACGCAAGAATTTAATTCTCTCTAAGCACTACCCATGCATTTTGATATGCTGTGTTTTCATTTTCATTTAGTTCAAAGTACTTTCTAATTTATTCAGTCATTTCTCCTTTTATTCATGAGTTATTCAGAACTGTCTCACTTAGTATTCCAATATTGTGAGATTCTCTGGGTATCTTTCTGCTATTAACTTATAATTTAATTCTACTGTAAGACATACTTTGCATACCCTTCCATACTTTGAATACTTTTCAATTTATTGAAACTTGTTTTCTGGCCTACAATATATTCTACTTGGTAAATTTTCCATGTGCACTTGAAAAGAATATACAGTATTCTGCTGTTCCTAGGTAAAGTGTTGTATATCGATTGTCATGTCCTCTATATCCCTACTGATTCTGTTTACTTGTTCTACCAGCTGAAATCCTGAACAACAAATGTGGAGTTATTTCTCCTTTCAACTGCATCCATTTTTGCTTCATGTACTTTGAAGGTCTGGCATAAACATGAAAGAGTGTTAGGTACTCTTGATGTCTTGACTCCTTTATGATTACGAATTGTCTCTCTTTACCTCTGTAAATTCTTTGCTCTGAAATCTTCTTGTCTATTATTAACATAGCTACTCCAGCTTTCTTCAGATTAATGTCTACATAGTATATCTATTTCTATCCTTTTATACTTTTAATTTATCTGAGTCTTAGTATTTAAGGTGGGTTCATGTAGACAGCTTATAGTTGCATCTTTTCTAGCTAATCTGACAATCTCTGCCTTTTGACTGAAATTTAGACCTTCTGTAATTAATGCAAATATCAATATGATATGATGTAAATATATTACCTTTGTTCCTTCTTTCCTCTTTTCCTGTTTTCTTTAGAATTAAATGAGTAATATTTATTCCATTTACTCTCCACTATCCAATAGTTAGTGCTACTGTATTAGCTCTAATTCTGTTTGTTAGGTTTTAGAGATAACTCAAGTTTAATTTACTTCATCACAGTCTATTGTCAAATACCATTGTGTCATTTCACAAATAGTCTAAGAATTACAAAAGTAAACTTCTATTTTCCTCCTCCTTTATTTTTTTACTAGTATTATACATTATAATTTTACATGAAATATCATTGCCATAGTTTGCCTTAAACAGTTACCTTTAGTGTTTAAAAATTTTTAAAGCCTATATATTTATCCCCATATTTTCCATGTCTTGTGTTCTTTCTTTCTAAAGATCCAAATTTCCATCTAGTACCATTTTCTTTCTGCCTGAAAAACTTCCTTGAACATTTTTTATAGTGAAGATCTGTTAGTAATGAATTCTCTCAGCACTTGTTTGACTGAAAAGTCTTTACTTCACCTTCATTTTTGAAAGATACTTTAAAGATATTGCTCCATTGCCTTTTTGCCTTCATATTTTCTGATGAAAAGTGTACTCTCATTCTTTTGTTTCTCTGAATGCATGTGTCATTCACTATCAAGTTTTAAGATTTTTCTCTTCAATTTAATGAGGACATGTCATTGTTTTGTTTTCACGTTTCTTCTCCTTAGGGTTGGTTAAGGTACTTGGATCTGCGAGTTTATAGTTTTCATCAAATTTGGGGAAAAATATTTCTTCAAATATTTTTCTATTACCCTCCCTTCTTCTGAGAAGCCACTTACATATATATTAGACTGCTTGATAATGAAACGCAAAACGTATACTCTTTTCTTAATTGCTTTTTTCTTTGTACTTGACGTTGGATAACTTATATAGCTATGTCTTCTAGTTCATTAATATTTTCTTCTCCAGTATCTAATCTCTTAATCGTATTCAGTGTATATTATTACTTTAGATATTGTACTTTTCATCTCTAAAAGTTCTATCTGGGTCATTTTTATACCTTCCATTTATTTCTTCATTATGCTTTCGTCTACTACTTGAATGATATTTATAGTAGCTTGTCTGCTGTATTTGTCCATTTTTACACTGCTATAAAGAACTACCTGAGACTGGGTATTTTAGGAAGAAAAGAGGTTTAAATGACTCAGTTCCACAGGCTTAACAGGAAGCATGGCTAGGAGACCTCAGGAAACTTACAGTCATAGCAGAAGGCAAAGGGAAGCAAGCACATCTTACCATGGTGGAGCAAGAGAGACAGAGGGAAAAGGGGGAAGTGCTACACACTTTTAAACAACCAGATCTCGTAAGAACTCACTCACTATCATGAGAACACCAAGGGGTGTTCTCCATATCCATGGAGAATACTCCATATTCATATCCATATGGGTGTTCACCATAATCTAATCACCTCCTACCAGGTCCCTCCCCCAATACTAGGAGTTACAATTCAACATGAGATTTGGGTTGGGACACAGAGCCAAATCATATCATTTACTAATGCTGTCATCTGTCATTCTGAGTCTGTTACCATCGACTAAAGATTCTCCTGACTGTGGAATGCCTTTTCCTTTTTTTTTTTTTTTTTTTTTTTTCCCTTGGCATGCCTGGTAATTTTTTATTAGATGCTAATCACTGTGAATGTTACACTTTCAGTGCTGGATTTTATTGTAGTTTTTATTTTTATTCTGAGGGGTTGTCTCCCCTTGGATGCAGTTAAGTTACTTGAAATCAGTTTGATTCTTTCAAATGTTGCTCTTAAACTCTGTTAAGGCAAGTCCAGAGTAGTCTTCAGTCTATTCCCATCTCCATAACCTAACCCTAACCCTACTTTGGCAATATCTTGCTGAAGACTCTACTCAATGATCCATGTACTATATTAAAAGATCCACTATTGTTGAAACACACATTCTTCCCAGCCCTGTATGAGCTCTGAGGAATTTTTCTTTTTTTCTTTTTTCTTGTTTTCTTTTTTTTTTTTTTTTTTTTTTTTTGAGATGAAGTATCATTCTGTTGCTTAGGCTGGAGCACAGTGGTGCAATCTCAGCTCACTGCAACCTCCACCTCTCGGGTTCAAGCAATTTTCCTGCCTCAGCTTCCCAAGTAGCTGGGATTACAGGCGCCTGCCACCATACCCGGCTAATTTTTTTTTTTTTTTTTTTTGAGACGGAGTCTCGCTCTGTCGCCCAGGCTGGAGTGCAGTGGCCGGATCTCAGCTCACTGCAAGCTCCGCCTCCCGGGTTCGGGCCATTCTCCTGTCTCAGCCTCCTGAGTAGCTGGGACTACAGGCGCCCGCCACCTCGCCCGGCTAGTTTTTTGTATTTTTTAGTAGAGACGGGGTTTCACCGTGTTAGCCAGGATGGTCTCGATCTCCTGACCTAGTGATCCGCCCGTCTCGGCCTCCCAAAGTGCTGGGATTACAGGCTTGAGCCACCGCGCCCGGCCACCCGGCTAATTTTTGTATTTTTAGTAGAGTTGGGGTTTCACCATGTTGGCCAGGCTGGCCTCAAATGCCTGACCTCAGATGACCCATCTGCCTTGGCCTCCCAAAGTGCCAGGATTACAGGCCTGAGCCACCAAGCCCAGCCCTCTGAGGAATTTTTCATCACTCCTTTCTCCTGTCATTCTTTCTCCAGCCCCAGGCAATTTCCTGCCTCAATTTTGTTTTCTTCCTTTAAGGAATGTTCCATTTTATTTGGCAGACAAAATGAGGTTACTTAGAAATCATCCTGAGTCTCTCAAGGATTATTTTTAAGCTTTCTTAAAGTTGGTATACATGAGCCTTTAGTCTAGCTCCAGTTTGGATCTCCCATGAAAGTATGACTTTTCTGAGTTTCTGCTCAATGCCCCACATGTTCAAGATCTTTCCACTTTAACTAGTTGGCATTCAAACATCTCCCAGCTTGGTGTGAGCTCTGAGAGTTTTTCATCTTATAACTCCCTGGCAGTTTTTCTTTTTCACCTAATGTAACACATATGCATCTATGTCTACTTAATTATAAGTTAATAAACTTCTCATTTTTAAGGCTTACATGTATATTTTCAGAAGCAGCAAGGTAGACAAAAAACACTGGTGAAAATTGTATCTGATCCTAAAGTCAGTCTTTTGGAGACTACAATTTCATTAGATGGATGCTGACAGCCATCGAGAGAAAAGGAAATCACGCTGAGTTTCTGGGGACTACTGCAAGAAGAAAAAGAGAACATAGAGAGCTGGCCTCAACCTCAAAAGTGATCCTACATCCAATCAAATTAAAAAATCCACATGAAGTTTCTCAAAACCTATTACAAACAATTTATCAAGATAACTGGTTAGCACTTGGGGTACAATGTGATAGCCAGACGTCATTTTTCTTGGAAAAATCGGGGTTAGAACCATAGCTTTGACTTCATTATCAATACATGTAACCAACAATCTGGGCTCCTCTATGGAAGTAGCTTAAATGCCTTGCAGATTAACCATGGACTAAGAATTTTCTTTGATCTTCAATACTCTTCCAAAACACACAACCCCAGGGCTCCATTTCTCACCCAACATAATTATACCCGAGCAGAGCATTATCTAATAATATCAAGCCAGGAAACTGTCTTGGGGTACTAAGGTGAAAGGATTTAGCCAAGTAGCAACCCAAATATGAACAAGGAAATGAGCCTAAGACATATTAAGCATTTAGAATAAGCCCCACCTGACTGACGACCAAGATAGATTAAGCTTCATCTTTAATTATTGATGTTAATGATCTGCCGTGAGCAAGACAATCTCTAAGGTATTTTCTAATTGTGAAATATTATTCTGTCTTATGTGTCAGACATAACTGATAGCCTAACACTACGTGTGCTTTGCTGACATTTCTGTCTTACCAAAAGTAAATAGTTCAACTGTTGTCATCATCTAAAGGTGCCACCACTTTTATTTGTTTACCAGATCAGCAGATGATACTGGTCCATTACCCTTGACCTAGTCAGACCTTGACAAAAGACTTAATGGTGCTATTTAGGATGCATTTCCTTGCTGCTTTGTGCAGGTGGCTTTCTCATTGTTGCATAGACAGTGATAGGAACATCAGTTATTGTCAGGCAATGACTTCCAGGGCACCTCCGGAGTTGCCTGAATAAAAAAGTAAATGACATGTAGTTAGATATTAAAAAGAGGAAATTTTTTTTCAGAGCACCAAAGTTTGATTGTATATTTTACTGTTTTAAATCACTTTGAAATCTCTGAATGTCATAAAATGAGTACAACATGGTGATGCTGATGAGGCACCCATTTTAGACTGATATAACAAAGAAATTGTGGCCTCTGACATACATTTAATCACAGAAAATTCATATATTCAAAGATAATCCTCCAGATATTCATTTTAAAAGGTATGCAATGATTGCTAAATGGCAAAACAAAAGTGCATAGTTACAAACATAAGAGATAATATCGTGGCAATTCATGTGCATATGCACCCTAAATCGCCTCAGTTGAGTGATTTCAAAACAAGAATGTTTGTGGCAAAATACAAAACTGAACATAGTATTTCACATACTGTTCAAATGTTGATAGAATCTCATATTTGAAATGGCCCTTAAATGACACCTAGTCCAAAAATACATCTAGTATATGAATTTCCTTTCCAACATTCCAACCAAATAGTCATTTAGCCTTACACATTTCTAAAGACCGGGAGCTCACTACTTCCCAAAGTAGACTATTTCATACTTGACTAACTCCAATTTTTAAGTACCTACACCTGTTAAACTTAAATCTGTGTTCCCAAAATTTCCAACCCATGAGAATCTAACAATGTAGTATCTAAGGTTTTGCTATAGTAAACATCACAGAAGTGAAACTAATCATTCTGTAAAAATACTTTGTCTCACAGAATCTTCATACTCTATATCACTCTTTCTGTCAAAGGTCACAGCACAGCCAAAGTGACACTAATCAAAGCCAAAGTGACACTGAATCTGAGGTCTAAGTCTTTTTCATATTTTTAGCCTTATGCCTAGCACAGGGCCCTACACATACTAGCACTGAAGGTTTGTTTGTTTAATTGAATGTTATCTAATCGTGAAGCTATCAACAATCTATTAGGTTCGTGCCAAGGTTAATTGTGGGTTTTTTGTTAATAGCTAAAAATGTACCAGAAAGAGAGAAAATGAATTGGTCTATCATCAAGACTTACAGAAATACAAAATACAGACTCCATACTAAGGAAACCTGGGCTCTGTTCATACTAACTTAGAAACAACAATATTTTGGAATTGCTGAGGGTTTTTTCTTGCTAATACTGAATATCAGCTGAAGATTGTATTGATGATAGCCAGTACGTATTTCCTCACTTGTGAGGATAGAAGACTTTACCTGGTTGGTGACATCTCCTTCCCATTACAGGCAGCACTGGAGCTCAGCCCCGGTTCCAGCCCAATTGAAGAGTCTCCTCCTTCCACTGGAAACCTCCTTGGCTGGGTTCCAAATCGAAAAGGCATAATTCACTGAAAACCTAGATTAGAAAGTTAAAATATTGAAAACCTAGATTAGAAAATTAAAACATTGGGGTTGGAGATAGATTGTCTTCAAAGACTTGTATGGAATGTTTTAAAGAGTCAGAATCTCACTATGTCGCCCAGGCTGGAGTACAGTGGTTATTCACAAGTGCAATCATAAGGCACTACAATTTTGAAACCCTGGGCTTAAGCGATCCTCCTGCCTCAGCCTCTGAGTAACTGGAACTACAGGTGGACACAATGTGCCTGGCCTTGGGATTTTTAATATTACTATTTTGTTATAGACGTATAGAAACATTCTGAATGTTATTCTATTTTTAAATAGCTAAAAAAGTGTTAAAAATTACTGTATTTCACAACCATCCCTTACGTACAATTTTAAGTCTTGCAAAAAATACAAAATAGCCACTAAGCAATGCAAGGAAAATGTACCCTATGGTTAACATAACTGAAGACCATTTCTGCTGTGTGAAAACAAAATTCAGTTTGCCTTTAAATGGTTGTTGCAATCAACAAGCACCTCTCTACCTATCTATGCTCTTCTCTTCCTTTGGAGCACAGTTTCACATTCACTGAAATATCTTCAGCTAATCCTTCTGTTCCAGGTGATTATTCATTTCCCCCCTGCTTCTCTATAGTCACAGTATAGTCCCTGGCTCTGGCCCTTCCCAACTATGTGATCTTAGTCAAGGTACTTACCTATATTTCTCAAGGGTACATTGGTGATAATATTTTCTACTTCTAGGATAATAGTGAGGATTAAGTAGGGTAATACACGTAAAGTGCAGTGCCTAACACACAGTAAGTGCTCAGTAAGTGTTAACTATTACTATTCAGCAGGTACTACTGAGCATTAGTAAATGCATAGAAATGTCTGCAAGTATACCTGATATATGAAATTTATTATGAAATCGATATGATTTATACACACAAACATATATAAATGAACTCCTTACTGCCTACCTTGGAACTCTTCCCTACCCCATTGCTCCCACCCTTCACTCACTATGGCCAATGCAATCCACTAAGCCTGAATTTACATTTTACTTACTCTATAACTTACTTTTATAACCCCCATTATCCACATTTTCATAGCAACCTTTATTTCTCCTTGGTAACAGTTATCCTTCTAATTCAGGGTTTCTCAATCATGACACTATTCACAGCTGGGATCAGATAGTTCTTAGCTGGGGAGGGAAGATACTGTCCTGTGCACTGTAGGATGTTTTGTAGCATTCAAGGCCTTCACCCACTAGATGCAAATAGTACCCCTCTCCCAAAGTTGTGACAGTACAAAATGTCTATAGACATTGTCAAATGTCCCCTGGTGGGAGAGAGAGGCAAAATTGCCCACTGTTGAGAAACACTATCCTCATTTTGTGTAAATGTTTAATATCCCCCCTCATTCCAAGTCTGTCTTTGTCATCACTGAATACTTAATACCTAGAACAGCGCTTGGTTAGCTTTATCTTGAAATAATTTGCATGTATTCAACTATTAGTACACAAAGGATAGGAAAAATTTTAAATGGTGCAACTATTTCTTACACTTAGTATAGTATTCTATGCCTAAAAGTAAATGTTTATTGGTGGTAATAATAAAATCAAATTAAGGTTTAAGAATTTTAATACAATAACTTTTGTAGACTGTGTGTCAATATCAAGAAAAAAAGTGTTTTGTTCAATGATGATTTAGTAAAACCATAGTAAACTCTGTGGTTTAGTATAACTACCTGTCTATGCAGGTATTAACATTTAGCTAATTTGATCAAGGATAAACAGACTTACCAAAAGAGGCTGAGTCTGATTCCTGTAGAGGTGAATAAATCAATGCTTTCTACTGGCCTTCCATAGAAGGCTGGAATTGCCAAAGGAATGATGATCAAATGTTCCAGTGACACCCGGAAATTATGACATCAGGAGATTCTTTCACATAGTTTCCTACCTGCTAAAGAATCAAACATCTCAATGCATAGCTCCAACAACAAGCTAAGGCTTAGCTAAAAATTTTCTGTAAAGCTTTTTGGAGAGTTTCATTCTTGTTTTTACTGGCTTATTTCCCTACAATATTAGTATTTTCATCCATGAATGGGGACCTACAGTCTGATCCATCTGTACAAAATCAGAATTGAGATTCTTCTCATTTTATATCCTGTTTTCCTCATTCTCTTTCTCTCCTAGACCTTCTCTTATAATATCCCAAATAAATACAATCTATCTATATCCTCATTCCACTCCAATATCCTCAAACCCAAATTATACCTTTACAAATTTCTCTATAACTTTTACATGGGATTCTTTACACCCCCTCTCTAATGCCTGGACTAACCTTTTTTTTTTTTTTTTTTCCTATTTCCTCAAGAGAGTCTTCAAATTCCCAAATGGCTGGAAGAATTACAATTGTGAAAGGAAGAACACACCTTGTACTGTCCTCATTATTCTGTTCCCTGGGCCCCGGGCTGCTTCTCTGCTGATTTCTCTAACGGCTCTCCCTCTCCCAATTCATTTTTGGCTTCTAAATCAATAGCTTACCTCATGAACAGCTGCTCTACTCAGTAATGTTTAGTTTAACCCTTACACCAGAACATAACTCTTCAGCTAAGCAGTTTTTCAGTTTTCATATCTGATGATTAAACCATTAAATGTTAGTGAGCATTCTTACCACTGTTGTGTTTTCAATGACTCATGTTATAGAACACTGGCATTTTACATAAAAATTAACTTGATGTTGGATACAATCTTACCTCTACCTTCTTTTTCTTACTAGGGTACTATCTGTGAATAAGTTGATCACCATTTTAGCTGGGAAAACTGATGGTGTCACAGTCACACAAACAAATAATTGCTGGCCATTGTTAGCTAAGGTATCATTAGGACCTAAATATTTAGTACTTAGGATGGCAAAAAAAAAAAAATAGTTTACATGTTTGAGAAGTGGTAGCAGTGGGAAAATGATGGGTTTCGGCATCAGAATTAGGTTTGATTTTTTTTCTTTTTTTTTTTCTTTGAGACAGGGTCTTGCTCTGTCACCCCGGCTGGAGTGCAGTGGCATGATCATGGCTCACTCACTACATGCAGCCTCAATCTCCTGGGCTCAAGCAATCCTCCCACCTCAGCATCTCAAATAGCTGGGACTACAGGTGCAAACCACCATGCCCAGCTAATTTTGTATTTTTTTGTAGAGACAGGGTTTTACCATGTTGCCCAGGCTGGTCTCAAATTCCTGGGCTCAAGTGATGCACCCACCTTGCCCTCCCAAAGTGCTAAGGTTACAGGCATGAGCCCACTGTGCCCAGCCAGGTTTGAATTTTGACACAATGTTAACTCTGAGATTTTAAGCAAATCACTAAAAGTTTGTCTGTAAAATGGTATTAATTCCTACCTTATAAAGTTGTTGTGAGGAATTAAAAACAATTTAACATGTATAAAGCCAATGACTGGGACACAAGAATTCAATCAGCACTACTTCCTACATATTTTTGTGTCATTCTTGAAATCAGAGTATTAAGACACTGATTTCACTTTTTAGTCACCGATATATATGAAGTAAAATATCTGTAAGTGGGATATTCTTAAAATTCTGTAATTTACCATTTTAACTAGTCCATTTGCCATACCATGTTTCTTTAGAATGGGTGATACAATGAAACAAATCAAACGTTAGCCTTAATGATGAAACTTTACAACAGTAGAATGATACATCAGAACACAAAAGGAACTTGAGTCTCCAGCATATTTTCATAAAGCAATAGATAAACGGAGCAATACAAATGGTGAATAAAAAGATGGGGAAGTATCCAAATACCTCCTTAAGTATCATAAGCTCAAGAGCAATAGTCTTTCAATTCTCAAGATATTAATTCATGAGATGCAGAAAATGAGTGATATTTGAATTTGTCATGTTCTAAGAAAAAAAGACCCATGGACTTCATTCATTCATTTAACGAATATTTGCTGAGAATCCACCATGAGTCAGGCACGTGTTAAGTGTTAAAGATAAAAGGTTAAGCTAAAACAAACACAGTTCCTGTTGTGGTAGAGTTTATAGGTTACAATAGGATTTGTTTTGGTTTAGGATATTTAATCTAAAGCTAAAAGATGAGTGGGCATTAATTAGGTGGCAATGAGTGGGAGACAAAAACATTGACACAGTTGAGGAGGGGGCAAACAGAGGAAAACAGCATGTGCAAAGGTCATGCCAGTAAAGACAATAAAAAATCTGAAAGGCCAGCATAACCAAAGCAAGGAAAACAGAAAATAAATAGAGTCTGAGACATAAGTACAGACCAAATCATGCAGGAGCATAAACTCAAGTTAAAATTTTAGACTTTGTCTTATGAACAAGGAAGCCCATCAAATAATTTTAATTTCTCAGGACACATATTTAGGTTTCATTGATTTTTCTCTATTTTCTATTTACCATTTACTTGATTTCCACTCCAATCTTTATTATTTCTTTTCTTCTGTCTATTTTGGGCTTAATTTGCTTTTCTTTTTCTAATTTCTTAAAGTAGAAGCTTAGGTCATTGATTTTAGTGCTTTCTTCTTTTCTAATGTAAACATTTAATTCTATAGATTTCCACCAAAGCACTCCTTTAGCTGCATTCCACAAATTTTTTAATTTTGTATTTTCATTTCCTTCAGTTAAAATTTTTCTTTTTTTTCCTTGGCCTATGGGTTATTTACAATTATATTGTTTAATTTTCCAATATTTAGGAATATTCTACTTTTCTGTTACTGATTTATAATTAGGTTCCATTTTTGTTAGAGGACATTCTTTGTATGACTTGAATCCTTTTAAATTTACTTAGACTTGTTTTTATAGCCAGAATGTAAACTGCCTTGGTAAATGTTGCACACATACTTGAACGTATATGCTGCTGTAGTTGGCTTCAGTGTTCTATATAAGTATTTTCCAATATTTAGGAATATTCTACTCTTCTGTTCTGATTTCTAATTAGGTTGGTTCCGTTTTTGTCAGAGAACATTCTTTGTACGACTTGAATTCTTTTAAATTTATTTAGAGTTGTTTTTATGGCCAGAATATAAACTGCTTTGGCAAATGTTCCACACGTACTTGAATGTATACGCTGCTATAGTTGGCTTCAGTGTAAGTAATTTGTTGATTGACAGAATTGTTCAAGTCTTCCACATTCTTACTGATTTTCTATATACCTGGTTTATCAACTATTGAAGTAAGGGTGTGAAATCTTCAACAATAATTGTAATTTTATTTACTTCTCCTTTCTATTCTGCAGTTTTTAGTTCAGGTATTTTGAATATGTGTATAATTTATAGATAAATTATACCACCTCACATACACTAGAAGAACCGTATAAAAGTATAGTCCATTTCCCCTCCCACTACATATAATTTTGTTGTCATATTTTAATTCTATCTATAGTACAAACCCCATACACATCGTTATACATTTTCTTTTAAGCAATTGTCTTTAAAACAAGTGAAGTCTTTTATATTCATCTACATATTTATCGTTTTCAGTGCTCTTTATCCCTTTGAGTAGGTCCAGATTTTCATACAACATAATTTTCCCTTTGCTTGAATGTTTTCATTTAACAGTGCTTGTCTGTTGCTGATTAATTAATTTAGCTTTTATATCTCTTTTTTTCATATTCATTGTGGAACAATATTTTAACTGGGTATAGAATTCTCAATTGTCAGTTTTGTTTTCTTTAAGTACTTTGAAGATTTGGGTCCACTATTTTCTGGCTTGCATTGTTCCCAACAAGAAGTCTGTTGATTTTTTTTATCTTTGTTCCTCTATATGTAATATGTCTTTTTTCTCTGGCTGGCTTTAATATTTGTTTTTTTATCACTGATATTAAGCAATTTGATTATAACGTACTTGTTGTAGTTTTTTTTCTGTTTCTTGTGCCTAAGATTCACCGAGCTTCTTGGATCTGTGGGTTCATAATGCTTATCACATTTGAAAATTTTTTAGCCTTTGTTTCTTCAGATATTTTTTTGTTCCCTCCTCTGGCATGCCAATTACATGTATGTTACATTGTTGAAAGTTGTCCCACAGTTCACTAGTTCTCCTTTTATGAAAAATCTTTCTGTTTTCTGTTTTATTTTGCACAGTTTCCTTCACTACCTCTTTAAGTTTGCTAATCTTTTCTTTTGCCTAATGTCTAATCTGCTCTTTATTCCATCCATTTTTCACCTTAGATGTTGTACTTTTCATCTCTAGAAGTCTAATTGGGATCTCTTTTATATATTTCTTTGTCCCTTCCCAATCAGCCTGGGCTTCCTTCTGTCCTTCTGAACATATACTGCTTTAATGTTCTTTTAATTTTATGTAATTGTTATGTTTACTAATTCTTTCATTTGTGCCATTTCTTGTTCTGTTTTTAACTAATTTTTCACCTCACTATGGGACTCATCTTTGCATATCTGGCAATTTTTGACCTGAGTGCCAGGCATTGTGATTTTACATTGCTAAACAATTTTATTTTTATTCCTCTAAGTATTTTTAAGTTTTGGTCTGGGACACAGTTATTTGGAAACAGCCTGGTTCTTTGGAGGCTTGGTTTCATGCTCTCTTAGGCTAGATCACAACAGCCTTTCATCTAGGGCTAATTTTTCTCCACTACTGAGGTACCTTTCTGAGTATTCAACTCAATGTTCCAGCTATTTTAAGGTTTCTCCACTCAAGATACAGGGAATGTGAATTAGTCCTAGCCCTATGTGAACCCTAGGAAATGTTCTGCCCGCTTATTTCCAACGGTTCTTTCCTCAGTGTTACTTAGTTTCCATGAATTCATGCAAGGATCAGCACTCAGTTTAGGCTCATGAGCAACTCCCTAAAGATTTACAGAGTTTTCTTTTTGCATACTCTCTCCTCTTTGGCATTCTGCCCTGCAAATTGTAGCTGTCTGATCGTCCAAAATTTCTAACTCTGTCGCCTCAACTCAATGTGGCCATTGGGTTGTGTTTGAACTCTATTCATTAGAAAGGTGACATTAGGTCTAGCCTACCCTCAAGGAGAGGGGCTTACACAAGAACAGGAGACAGAGATCATTGGGTGCCATCTTAGAGGATGCCTACCACAGATGCTGTATTCTGATGTAATGTCTGAGAATGCTTGTGCAGTACACACAAGCATTTATCAAATATTTCTGGCTTTCTCTTTTTCAGAAATTGAAATTCCTGGCCACCTTATGATTACTTGCAGCCCATGTGATTAGTTTTAGTCAGTGAATTATAAGCAACCATTAATTGCTAGTGCAAGACCCTCCTGAGCTTTGTCGCTACCACAAAAACCAGAAATGTATCTCACATCATAAATAAAAATCAACCAAAATTAGTTCAAGACTCAGACGTAAGACCTGAAACTAAAACTACTAGGAGAAAACAGGAAAAAAAAATCTCCACAACATTAGTTTGGGCAATGATTTCTTGGATACGACTCAAAAAGCACAGGAACAAAAACGAAAGTAGACAAAAGGGACTACATCAAACTAAAAAGCTTCTGCACAGCAATGGAAACAATTAATAGAATGAAGAGAAAACTCACAGATTAGGAAAAGATATTTATAAACCATACATCTGCTAAGGGGACAACATCCAAAATACATAAAGAACTCAAACAACTTCACAAGAAAACACATAGCCCAATTAAAAATGGGCAAAGAATCAGAACAGACATTTCTCAAAAAATACATATAATGGCCCACAGATATATGAAAAAATACTCAATATCACTAATCATTAGGGAAATGAAAATTTAAAAACATAATGATATTTATCACCTCACATCTGTTAGAATGGCAGCTATCAAAAAGATAAAAGATAAATGTTGGCTAGGATGTGGAGAAAAGAGAGCCTTTTTAACACTGGTGGTGGGAATTAAATTAATACAGCCATTATGGAAAACAGTATGGATTCCTCAATCAAAAATAGAATCACCGTATGATCCAGCAATCCCACTTGTGGATATATATCCAAAGGAACTGAAATAAGTATGTCAAAAAGATATCTGCACTCCCATGTTTACTGCAGCATTATCCACAATAGCTAAGATATGGAAGCAACCTAACTATCCATCAACAGATAAACAAATAAAGAAACAGATAAAGAAAATGTGGTATATATACACAATAGAATACTATTCAGCCTTAAAAAAGAAGAAAATGCTGTCATTTGTGACAACATGGATGAACCTGGAGGACATTATGCTAAGTGATATTAGCCAGCCACAGAAACACAAACACTGCATGATCTCACTTATATGTGGAATCTAAAAAAGTCAAGCTCATAAAAGTAGAGAGTAGAATGGTGGTTACCAGAGGGTAGTAAAGCTGGAGGGTGAGACAGGGATAGGGAGCAGAAGACGTCCAAAGGATACAAAGTTTCAGCTAGGAGGAATAAGTTTTATAGATTTATTACCCAGCATGGTGACTAGTTACTAATAATATATATTTCAAAACTGCTAAAAGAGTAGATTTTTAATGTTCTCATCACAAAAAAAATCTGAGTATGTGAAATGACAGACATGTTAATCAGATTGATTTAATCATTCCACAATGTAAATATTTATCAAAAAATCAACTGTACCCCATTAATATATACAATAATTAATTTAAAATCAAATAAATCAAAAACTGGACCAAATAATGGCAGATCATCAGCCTGAGTGCCAGAAGGGGGATACCATAAAGCATAGCCCCCAGACACCCTCAACGGACATGCATCATGTACAAAAAAAAAATGTGTTGTTTTACACCACTGAGATTTTGGGGTTGATTGTTACCATGGCACAACAAAGTTTATGCTGATGTATACAGACTTTTGTCCAGACTTAGGTACCGCTATAACAAAAACCTAAAATATAAGTCACCACACCTAAGTGGTCAAGGAGCAATTAACAAGGAAACTGTTGTGGAAAGCTAAAAGGATAGTGATATATGTCACTCAGGAACAAACCTATTGGGAAAAACCTTTGGAAAACTCTGTGATGGCCTAGAAAGAATTTGATTTAACTAATGAATTTATATGTTGGGAGAAGAGGCTGGAAAACAATAACATGCCAGTTGCTATTGTTTGTCAAGTTATATGAGAAAGAGATTAGCTCAGAAATGGCGGTGTGTACAAGCAAGAATAAAAACAGAGCACCCACAAATTTGAACTATATTTCAATGACAACTTACAAAAGCTATAGAATAATTTTCTTCTAAAATATTTTATTCCCCTTCAGAACTCTGCAGCATGTTTTCAGTGCCTTCCCATACTGAATGTGCTATAGATGAGTCTAAAGTAGTCCAATTGTTTTTTCTTCATCCCACTCCCCTGTTCATTTCATGCCTAGATACCTAAAAAATTCTTTCTTTATTCTGAAAAGTTGAATGACTTAATGAGGTTACATGTCTTGGTGTTGATTTTTCTGTAGAAATTGTCCTATAGAACATAGTGTGTATCCTTTTAATCTATGTATTTTTCTTCCTTTACTTTTTATATCAAGCACATTTCTTCCTCCATTTGCTGTGGGCACATGTTAATCTTACGTTGAGTTATCTTTGTCTCCTCCATACATATTATTTTTAATAACTTTCACATCTTCGGGTTTTGCCTAGTATTCTGTCATTATTTTAAGCCTTTCCTCTACATTATAATTTGATGTGCATCTCTCTAGTCTGCTTCTTAATGCTTTTAAAAATTATTCCTTTAAGTCCTTTAAGGGGGATGTTGTTTTCAGTTAATTTCCTTAGTTCTTTTATCTCCATTTTATTTCATTTATTCATCAAATATTTACTTACTATCTACTATATGCAAGGTACTATCCCTAGTAGTGGATAAAAATCACAAGACTCAGCCCTCATAGAGCTTGAGTCTTATTATTTTGGTATCTTGTCTTTAAGTTCCTGTTTTATTGCATTCATATTCTTAAGTTCTTCTTCAGCACAAAATATATATGATGAATTTTCTTTTTTCCCCTCTTAGGCTACGTTTTACCCCAAGGTCTTGTACTTTACCCATCTTTTACATCTTTCCTTCCTTCCTCTCCCCCTCCCCTCCCTCTCTCCCTTCCCTCCCTGTCTTCCTTCCTTCCTTCAATATTAGTAGTCCATAGGATTCCCAATGATTTTTTTTCTCTTTTTCATTTTCAGCATGTGGAATTTTGTTCACTCTATTTGCTCTGTATGTTAGTCAGCTATCAGTATAATAAAACTGCACCCCAAAATTTCAGTGGCTTCAACCAAAAACATTTCTTTTCCTTATAAGATTCTGAATAGCCCGCTGCAGTTCAACCAGTCTCAACTTGGCTAACCTGGGTTTGCATATATGGAAGTTTTGGAGTGGCTGGCATGTGAGGCTCTACCTTGCTTGACTCTTAAGCAGAACTGTCTCTCAGTCTGATTCTCTACAGACTGGAGTTATTAATAAGACATGTTAGGACTTTTCTTTCCTATATGTGGCTTCTGGGGAATAATGATTGGGACTGCATGAAGGGTGGGGCTCTGCAAAAGCCAGTGTATCATCTCACCTAGCACTGATAACACACTGATACAGACCTATTCACATCACTGCCTACAAACTGGACCAAGACTTGCAAATTTTGGAAGCCCCAGACTTTGGGACTTTAGCATCAAGATCTAAAGTACCCAACTCTACCTCTACCACTGACCCCATACTCAGTAAGCAGTCAAGAATAAATCCAGCCTACAAAAATTTACTGACCAAAAGCTGCCTATTACCAAAAGATATAAAATCCATTGCAACTTTAAACCTACCAGCTACCAGAGAAATGTAATAGTAACTACTACATGTCTTGGTGGGACAACAAAGTGTTCTAATCAATTGAATATTACAATTCACATTAGCACATATTCATAGTACATACCATATAACTTTTTATTAAACAAAGAAGACTTCTTAGAGTTTCGTAGTTCTTCAGAATTTTTGTGGAAAATATTTTATTAAATAAGTACTTGAGTTCTTAATTAAAATCTGGACTAATTTGATCAATAGAAGTTTACATATTTTAATGTTTGACAATTTTAAGGAGTTGGTAGTAGTCATAATGCCTAATTTTTTAATCTTCTCCTCCTCTATCCCATCTAAATGCCTAGTGTTAATCTCATCTCTTCTATCAGACTTCTGTTTACTCATCTACATCCTCAACCACTGAATCTTATTGAACTTAAAGTCAACGCCATACAATTCTTTGAGTATTTCGCGTGTATGTCTTCAATCAGATTGTAAGCTTCTTGGTACTGGATCTATGCTTTAATTTCTTTTTAATCTTCCCAGAGAGCCTACAAGTTAATTTGGGGAGTATACAGCGTTTAACAAATACTGGTGGGGTCTGTGATCTTAGCTTTGCCATTTTTGTCAAAGTGTATAACCATTTAGTTCCAATTGTGCCCTGACATGTCTGTTTGTCTGCGGTTTCTCTTTGCTCAACGCCATTGTTCATTTTCTATTAGAATAAAGGTCTTGTTAGACAGAGATGCTAACGCAGCGTCCCGTGGAATCTGAATAAACGGACTGATCCACCGCCCAGGGTGTTGAGGCTGTGAACAAAAATTAAACCTCTGATAGCCTACAAACAGCTTAACGACACATATTTAAAAATATCACTCCAAAGCCTAGTTACCCGCCAGTTACCCCGGCCTCCGGAGCTGCCGATGCTCAAAGATGTTGACAAGGCAGTTAGGATCTGCAGTCCAGAGGCCCAGTCGCTATGGTAACGGTGAGACGCAAGTGCACCTGCGCGGCCTTCTGACGGAAAACCTTAGCCTAAACCTAGGGACGTGCTTAGCGACGGCAGCGGCTTGCGGCAGCAGCGTGACTTACGGCAGCCCTCTAGTAGAGCGCCGTTGCGGGTGGAATGCAGAAGCGGCTGCGGGCTAGCAGGCGCCCAGAGCCGGCTGCGCACCAGCATGACACAGTCGGTGGTCGTACAGGGTGAGCTACGCAGGGCGGATAGAGACCTGGTCGCCGCGGAATCCAGCCGCCTTGTTTCCTGCCTAATGTCCTATTCTCTTTCCTTCCTCTCCTCCGGTCGCAGTCGGCCAGTGCGGAAACCAGATCGGCTGCTGCTTCTGGGACCTGGCACTAAGGGAGCACGCCGCGGTCAACCAGGTACCCGCCCGCAGCCCCCTCGCCTGTCAGCTAGGTCTTCCAGCCTATACGCAGGAAATACCCGACTTGAGCTTTCATCTGACCCGTTTAAGATGCATGGGATCTTCTCAGTAAATAACGTACTGGTTTTTAAACATGTTAGTTCAGACACACACTAAACTAAAAGAACACTGGCCGGCGACCTTAGTCTTAACATTTTTCCTGATTCTCAGGGTCTCCTCTTTATTGGTGTTCGTGTGCAGAGCAGTGAGATTGTATATGGGAAAGTACTGTGTAAAACAGATAACACGTGTGGTTATTGTATTCCTTAATTTAACCAGTTAGCTTTTAAAAAGATCACCAAGAATCCAGAGAACGCTCATTTGATGGACCTGTTCTGCAGTCCTATGGGTGAAATCCTTTCTTTAGCACCTCCTGCTGAACTTTATCTGTAGATCCCATGGCATTTACTCTTCTAAGGAGATTGGGAAGAATCAGGCTCCGCATTTTGTGATACTTGCTTTTTCTTTTCAGAGCTTCATCCTACCCATTACAGTATTATGTAATTAAAATTGAAAGAATTTGATTTGGGCGAGAAGCAAAACCTAAATGCTATTAACATATGTTTTTCTTTTTAGAAAGGAATTTATGATGAGGCAATAAGCAGCTTCTTTAGAAATGTAGACACCAGGTAAGATGGTATTAAAGTCTGTCACAATGTGATACTTTTAAGTTTCAATAGCTTGGGATATAATTCTTCAAAGGACAATAAAAATAGCCAGTAGCTGCAAAGTTCTGTTTCTTTGTTTCGTTATTGAAAACATATTCCTTCTATTAGATTATTAATATTATATCATCTTGCAGAACAGGTTTCCCTTTAGTGTGACTTCTTTTAACTTAACTTTGAAAGAAGTTTCATTAAAGGAAAGCTGAAATTTTCCCAGAGGGCATCTTGTTAATGCATCCTGTAATAACTAACTTTTGAAAGAAAAATATGTTGTTTACATACATGCTGTAAGTATAAAAATATACTTAAAAAGGAGACAAGCAGTTATTGGATTGTTTTTATTTAATAAAGAGTATATGTAAGTACTATATATCTTTTATCTGGAAGAGTAATTTAAGTTGCCGTTCAGGATATCTCCATAAGCTTTTAATATTAAATTATTACTTTCATGCGTTTTCAAAATACTTCATAAAACTAACTGTCGTGTGCTTAAACTGAAAAATATATACTTCATATCAGGCTTTAATCCAATAGGAACATCACTTCTAGTTTAAAATTGTTGGCTGGGTATGTGAGCAGTTATCTTCTAGAGAAAGCTGATTAGTCCCTGCTTCCTGCGTGAATTCCAGAGGCTATCTAGGGCACTGGCTTGCAAACTCAGAAGTGTCATTGGCATCTTGAGATAAGTTCAGTGCTCTCCGGTACAGCCAGGTTAACCAAAGACCAAATTCTCATTTTCTGTCATAGGCACATTACATTAGTAGGAAGTCTTACTGAAAAGCTATGTAATAATCTGAAGGTTGCTTGGTGACCATGGAATCAGACCAAAGGAAGTTAGGTGTATTACTTTAATGGCTGGTATCATTTATCTTTATTTTATGGAGGTATCTGTCATATAGACTATAGATTCCCTCTTATTTGTAGCCCAGAATATCCTCACCTCTAAATTCTCTTGGGAGTCTCAAATTTGCCTCTGTAATACTTCCTTTCAGACGCTTCTCTTACTAAGTTCCTATGCCCACCTCTTTACTTCTTGTTACCCAACACTTACATTGAGTATTACATAGTTGAGAGTCAGCCTGGGAGCTTTTCTTTCTTCATAAGGTGACTCTTCATAACTACACTCTCATCTCCTTTGTGTGTTTTATACTTTAACCTGAGAGCACTATTTTTTTCCCGGTAAGTTTAGCAAGCAGAGTTGTGGCATCTTGCACTTCTTTCTGTGTACTATGAACACATGCAGCATCTGTTCCACAGCTTAGTACAAAAAATCTTTTTCGAAGTAAGACCGTATCTTTGTGTATTCTTCTTACCAAATTGTTATACCTTTTGAATAGCATGATAGGAATTTACCTACAGCATGGGTTGGCATACATATATTTTCTGTAAAGGACCAGGAAGTAAACATTTTAGGTTATGTGAACCATAAAGTCTTTTGCACCACTTTTGATCTGTAGCATGACTATGGGCGTAGGTAATACATAAAGGAATGGGTGTGTCCATATTTGAATAAAACTTTATATACAGGCAACTAGTTGGATTTGGCCTGACAATTGGCTGCCCTTCATATATTCTGTCTTGTGAACTGTCTTTGTTGACCCATATACTGCATTAGATTTCAGTACTTTGGCAACTTATTTCCAACGTAAAATTCTCAGAACAACCTTAGATACTCAATGGTAAATACCAGTTATATCTGTTGATGGGTGTTTAGCTGCAACAGGAAACCACATTAATGGTGGCTTAAGCAGTAAAGGTATCCATTTGTCTCACCAATCTGGAAATCAGATGTTCTAGTTTTAAAGGAATGCCTCAAAGATCTAATACTATATATGTTCCACTGTCCATAAGTGTGCTGGCTTTTTGTACTTGTATTATTACTTCATGACTATAAAATGGCAGTCTCTGCTCCAGGAATCACATCCATATTCATGTTTGAGGCAGGAAAAAGGAAGAAGATAGGCGCCAACTGCATCTGGTCCTTCTTTAAAAGCTTCCCAGAATACTTCCCCTTTATCTCATTGGCTAGAACTGGATTACATGGCCAGCCCTAACTACAAAGAAAGCCAGGAAAATAAGTACCTCACTTTTTCAGCCTAATGGGAGGTAAGTAAGGAAGAAAGAGGTTAGGAATAGCTGTTGCGTCTGCCTCACCTGGCCTATAAGCAGTCTTATTATATAAATGGAAGTTAACTTTATTACCTGATAGCGCTATTAGCCATGGAAGATCTTATGACCATTTCTCATTTTTTTTATCTTTCAGAGTGGTTGGTGATGGTGGAAGTATTTCCAAGGGAAAAATATGTTCTTTAAAAGCACGAGTAAGATACATAAGCTTGGATTCTTATATTACATGTATTTTTTAAATAACTATGCTCAGTAACTATCATGAGAATAAAACTTTAAACTTTTCAAAGTAGAAAAAAATTACTAAGCCACATTTAATATAAATATAACTAAGCAGACATTTGTGTCCACCTAACACATTAGGGGGAAAAGCCCATACTTTAAAACACTGTAGTTAGCCTTTTTTCAGGAGAAATAGTGTCTACATAAATAACAAAAGGAGCCTTCTTAACTCTAAGGACCTGAAATACATACTAGTACAGTTTAATGTTTTATTCAAAGATATTGGAAGATTTATTTGCATCAAGGTTACTACCAGTACAAAACATGGAACCAGCCACATTGTAGTGAATAAAAACCGTTAACCATGTAAGTTCTCCTGAACCAAGTACTTCAGATTCGTAGCCCATATTTGCAGTCTTATTTACGGTCTTAATCATTCCAACAATATTTCTGTGATTGTTTCTGTGTAACGAACTACTTTTTCTGATTTTTGATCAGTGATCTTTGACTGTAACAGAAAAGAAAGTTTAAATGTTATGGAAGGAATTGAGATGTTAAGGATCAGACCTGGTGTAGTAGCTTAAAGACTGGTGAGCAATACTTTTGTGACATCTGGGAACCATCTTCTATCTGCAATCTCTGATGTCCTTGGAAAACAAAATTTAGGGCAGAGATCATGTGCTTGCAGGCTGTGACAAAATTGACTAACACAGTATGCTTTGTGATGTAGAGAGAGCAGGTATCCCAATCCAAATCTTAGAGAAAAAGAGACTTTGACATTTCCTAGACTACTCCCAACTGAATCTTTTTCCTACAACCATATCAGTAAGCAGATGGAGAGGTGGAGGAAACACTATTAGGAAAAAATAAATCAGCATGTTTTTGTGGCCTTTGACTTTTTTTCCGAGAAGGTACTCTTCCATTTTCTCCTTAGGAGCTCTCAGTATTGTGTGGTTGTGATCACTGAAGAGTCCAGGCTTCATAAGATAGCTTGGTGCTTGGGTCCCTCCACTGTATTCAGTTTCTTAGGTTAATGAATACTCAGAATTTTATAAATCCTATGTTACAATTAGGGAAAAACCAGTCGGCTCTGAAAGGAAATACAAACATCAAATCCTAGAACAGTTGTGACTCCAGACCTTGGATGCCTAAGTGAAGAACCCAAAATACTCTCCCAAAGTTTAGTTAATTTCCAAAGGAAAAACAAGGGCCTGATGTAACAAGGAAGGTCTGGAAGAGTTATATGTCAGGATTTTAATGTTAAGTGACTAGGGCAATAATGATTCTATCAAAACTAATTTCAGGAGGTACCCGAATATCAGTTTGTATTTGCATATTGCTTCCCTTGCCAAGTAGCAGAGTAATTGAGGGTATAATTTATGTATGTTTAATCTTCCACATACCTCAATAAATCTATTTTGGAACAAGGCCAGTATAATCTAATTTTTTTTTTCTTTTATAATCTCACAACTTGTAGTCCTAAAATTTGCCCATACAGTGAAGTCTCTCTTTGGTTGGTTTAGGTGTTAAAGTCGTCAGCATTTGAAGTCAAAATTGCGTATTGTCAGAAATATCCTTGAAAATACCTAACATTGCCAAACATCCTATACAGTCATCTGTATGTAAAGTGTATATATGATTGCTCTATATAAAGGAGCACATTTGTAAAACATAGTTTTATAGTCTTTATGATATACTGCTATATAATTGTAAATCTTTTTTTTTTTTTTTTTTTTTTAAATGGAACGCTTCACGAATTTGCATGTCATCCTTGTGCAGGGGCCATGCTAATCTTCTCTGTATCGTTCCAATTTTAGTATATGTGCTGCCGAAGCGAGCACTTAATTGTAAATCTTAAAGTAGCATGGTTAATTACACAAATGATTAAACTCACTGCATAATGGTAACAGAACTGAAAGCCATAAACCAAGCACTTCTTCTGCGACACTGAATCAAAGAGTTAACAAATCATTGTTTAGTGTACCCTAAGCATTTGTTTCAGCTTTGCTTTTTTATTTAACTCTACTTAGTTTACTTTTTCACTGTTCTTCCTCACTGTAGAATATATGGAAAGTACAGGGAAGTGGGAGGATGGGACATATAATCCTACTGCCAAGCTATCCCTGCTTTACGTTTTACTAGATTTCCTTCATCTTTTTTTTCTGTTTTTTCTTTCCATAATTAATTTCGTGTTTTGTATTCTCATTTCTTCTTAGAAATATAGGTTTTCTGTCATGTCAGCTAAAGTTTGTGGTAATGAATTAGATCGTGAATTACTTGGGGGAAAGGACCATGTTGTCACTTTTCACATCTATCCCAGTGCCTTTGCTTTGCACGTAATGGTAAATTTACTCATTTGAATTGGGCAGTTTTGGGCTGTGGTTCATAAAGAGCAGCATGATTGTTCCCGGTATGCAGATGCATTAATGCATCCCATATTGATTGAGAACTTATTCTGGTTAAGGATGCCTTTTACATTTCTGAGACCTTGTTAGAAATTCAGTTGAGGGGATTATTCTTGGGCTTTTTTTCCCCAACTAGGCATTTTAGAGTAGGATAAAAGAATTTAGAATCCATTTTTTAATTGGATTCCACCTTTCAAACAGAGTGAAATTATTTTTTACTTTTTACAGCAGATTCTACATAAAGATTTTACTTAAGCTTAAACTATCAAGAGAACAGTGTAATATTCAGTGCATAAATTATTTTCATTTACAGAGTAAATAACTCTAAAGGAAAATACATTAATTTTATTTTTCTTTCTCAGGCTGTCTTGATTGATATGGAAGAAGGGGTAGTGAATGAAATTCTGCAGGGACCACTGAGAGATGTATTTGATACGAAACAGCTGATCACTGATATTTCTGGCTCAGGAAATAATTGGTGAGAATACACAGCGTAAAAATTGAATATTTTCTGAAAAAAATGAGCAATCTTTTCTTCATTGTGAGATTCCACTGATGTGAAACAAGATGCAATTTGCCACATAAGGCTAGGCCTTTCAGCCCACCACCTTAATAAATGGTGGCTTGGAAGCCATCTGTATTTACTCCTAGTTCCTTCTTTTTTAAAGAAAAAGATGAATTATGAAAAATTAATTTGCTGAATTCCTTTTCATAAATTCATTCTTGAAGAACACTAAATAGTGACAAATGTTTTAAGTATTTCCATTAACTGTTATCTATGTTATTTGACTTGCTCTCAAGTTGTCCAGTTGGTCAGATGTAATAGAATTGATAGAGATGCAAGCCAGACCAGTATCCTAGCATTCAAGCTGAGCCTGAGGCTTTTTAGGCCCTTGAGTATATCATGATCTCTTTACTGTAAAAAAAGCTTCAACAGTGATTACTTAAGAATTCACGTTGAGACTGTTGTTGTTTTTTAGAAATTAAGTAGCTCCTTGTTATTTGCAAATCTCTCATATTCATTATTTTCACTATTTACAGCCAGTCCCTCAGGTTCATAATGTGTAGTGATGTATAATTTTACTAAAACATAAATTTGAATCTTGTGTTCCCAGAGAACCAGTCACTTAGTACGTGAGCCCATCTGACCACCTAACTGCATTTTCACTAATTGTTGTGTAACTTATTATGTAACTTTTGAGTTATACCTGAAATGCATGTTATGGGAAATTTTTTTACTTTAATTCATCATAGTGATATTTGCAAATCTGGACAACTAAAAAGACTTGCCGAGCTGCATAAATATCAATTTCTACCATGTGCCATTTCATCTAATAACATGATATGACCATTTTTTTCTCATATATGAAACCAGAATAGGTTTGTTTAAATTTTTTCAGTGTCTCTTTAGTTTACCATATTTTGCTTTTTAATATGTAAAATCCACTACAATTCAGAGCTTACCTTAAATGGAGAGAAGAAAAAATTATGTAACTGAAATCTTGTTTTGTCGGAATTGTACCTTAAGAGAAGGTTAAGAAGATAAATTTAGAAAATCATAGTTTAGTATTCATTACTGATGATCTTACTTATCCACATATTTGAAGATCATAGATACTGAATATTTGTTAAGTTTTCTATCTAGTATCTTCAGGATATTGTATGCTTTATTTACATGAAACAAGAATAGACTTTAGCTCAATAAAAATACTTTTCAAATTTGTTTAAAATCCTTTTATTCAGATTAGAACTAATAAAAAAATGCAAGGAATTTTAAAAATCCTTGTTCTTATTTTCAGGGCTGTGGGTCACAGAGTTTTCGGCAGTCTTTACCAAGACCAGATTTTAGAGAAACTCAGAAAGTCGGCAGAGCACTGTGATTGTTTGCAGTGTTTCTTTATAATACATTCCATGGGAGGAGGTAAAATTTTTCACTCACTTGCCTGTAACAGTGTTAAAGTATAAGTGGGAATTCATTTTGCAAACATAAGTCTTGTTTTTAGACATGTGCTTGATAAAAATAGAACTATTTGGAGGGTGTATAGTTTGAGTATGTAAACATACACCTTTTTATCTTAAAATTTTGTGGTATTATGTCACTATTTTCTCTCTTTTTTTTTAATGTAAGCCCTCTTAAGAATCAACAGAACTATACTGGAAAAATTTTTTTCTTGTACCTTTAGTTTCTTTTACGGAACATGCAGCTACTTTTCAGGATGTATGAGCTTTTGAGGAATGCTGACTTTCTCCTCAGAGTTTGCCTGTACAGTCCTGTTTCCTAGAGTGAAGCATTTTTGACATGTTCATAAAGTATGCTTGCCAAAGAATATCAATACCCTGTCTTTAACCATCTTCAAGCCTTTCTTGTCTCCAAAAAGAGAAAAAAAAGTAAAACTAGTTTAGTCAATTCCTTTAGATCGTTTATTACACGGCAGTTAATTGACTTGAACTAAAAATAAATAATCAGCATTGCTTCCTTCCCCCAGGGAAGCCTATACCTTAGAACTGAAGTATTTTGCTCCCCTCTTCTGTAAAAATAGAAACAGAATGTAATTTGCTGATTTTTAAATAGGCTTAGCAAATATTAAAAGAACAAAATTGTCACACTTTTTTCCTCCAACCTGAGATTAAGATTTTATATTCAGCAAGTTATGTGTATGTACAGTTGATTTTTATACATATTATTCATTGACATAGCATTGTAAAATTAAAAGTTAAAATTGCTGTGTAACCATGTCTTTAAAAGACCCTCATAATCATTCAGTTAAGAAACAAATTTGTCTTTGTACTAGTATAATTAACCTGCAAATTTGAGTTAGTTTTTTTAATTGATTTATAGTTCATTATATCTTTCTAAAAAATACCTTTATTACCCAACATCTGAGAAGAACATACTTACAATTCACTTAAAATGGCAAAAATAAATATTACTAAAGGTTAAAAGTAAAGTGCTTTTTTCCCACGTCTAATCCCTACTCCCTGTCCTCACAGATGGTCAGGTTTGCGGGGTCTTTTTATGTCTGTTCTTTCAGATATATTCTATGCCTATCAAAGCATGTATGTATATTTTTACATAAACAAGATTATCCAATATATACTATTCTGTAATTTTTCCACTTTATCTCTTCCTGAACATCTTTCCATATCAGCTGTCTGTCATAGAATCAATTATACAATTTAAAGTGAGTTTGTTATTGATGGGTGTTAAGTGTTTATGATATTTAGTTTTTACATCCCATCATCAGTGAAAGTGTGGGACAAATACTTCTGCATTTGTGCCACTATAGCTTTAGACAGTATTCCTAGGAAGAAGATAGGACCAAAGCATATGTACATTTAAAATTTTGGCTGATATTACCTATACACCTTCCTACAATATTGCACCAGTGCTTCTTACTGACAACAATGTGTATGAGTTTCTATTTCCCTACACTAGCACCAACACCGAGTATCATGAGACATAAATCTATTATATGCAAAAGTATATCTAGTTTTAATTAGAAAGGTTGAGCATCTTTACTTCTATTTGCAATTTGTATTTCTTTTATTATGAGTTAAATATTTCTATCCTTTGCCCATTTCATGGTGGCATTATTCATATTTTTTGTTGTTTTGTGGGAACTTTTTCTTAGAGAAACTTAGTCCTCCATCATATACATTGAAGGGTTTTTTTGTAAGTTTGTCCTGTTATTTTGTTTATGGGTTTTTTAAGTATATATAGAAATCAAATGTTTATTTTTAATGAAATCAAAACTGTCTTTTCTGTAATGGCTCCGGTTTTTTAATGATGCTTAGAAAGTCCTTCTCATTAAAGATCACCCCAAGAATCTCCCTCACTTTGACTTAGTACTTTTAGCATCACAGCCTTTTAATATTTATCTGCATGGATTAGAACATTGGCTTTTAAACTTTGTTTTAACAGAATGGTATGAAATACATTTTATATATCACAGTGCAGCATACACGAAAAAATATATTAAGAAAACATTATTTACTCATACTACATCTGACATGTTATTTTCTACTGTTTCATTTAAGAAAAGAAAACAGTACTAATCTATTCATTAGTTTCATAGCCTGCTAATAGTTCAGAACCCAGTTTGAAAAACACTGGATTAGAGGATTCCAGTTTTAAGTTCTGAAAAATTTCTGAATTTATGTAAGTGTAACTTTATGTATCAGAAAAGTACCTTTAATGAGATTCCTAGAGTTTCTGCTTTTAAATAAGATGTGCTTCATATTTGAAAATTTTTGAAATTCGAGGTAGACATGCTTAATTGTAAACAATTTTAACTGTTTAAATTGCTTGATGACATGATAGTTTTCTTCATCATGAAGATTGTATACACACTACAGTAAAGCTGTCAAGTTAGTTTTCTTAAGTTGCTTAATATCAAATGTAGACTGAACACTCTATTAGTTGAAGTTTTTACTTGTGCATGTGCAGTTGGTTCTTGTGGCATTACATAGGTATAACTTAATTATGAAAAGGAGTAAAATATAGATAGCCCTCCCAAACTCACTGTCAGAGCCAGAGATGGAATTCAGGACTTCATTTCCTGAATGTTGCCCTCATTTCCTGCCAAAATTAGATTAGTTAATATGTAATCACAGAAATAAGTTGAAAATTAGTTTTTCAAATATAAAATTCTGGCCAGTTGTGGTGGCCCATGCCTGTAATTCCAGCACTTTGGGAGGCCAAGGCAGAAGCTTGCTTGAACCTAGGCATTCAAGACCAGCCTGGGCAACATAGGTAGACCCTGTCTCTACACAAATTAAAAAGTTAGCCAGGCCTGGTGGCGCATGCCTGCGGTCCCAGATGCTTGGGAGGCTGAGGCAGGAGGATCGTTTGACCCTAGGAGATCAGGGCCACATTGAGCCGTGATTATGCTGCTGCACTCTGGCCTGGGTGACAGAGCAAGACCCTGTCTCAAAAAAAATAAAGTGTCAAATTCCTCACAATTATATTCTGAATCATTTATGCTAATTTTTTAAAATATTTTAATCCTCAGGAACAGGATCTGGACTTGGCACATTTCTTTTAAAGATGCTTGAAGACGAATTCCCAGAAGTATACAGATTTGTGACTTCCATTTATCCTTCTGGTGAGGATGATGTCATAACCTCACCTTATAATAGCATCTTGGCAATGAAGGAACTTAATGAGCATGCAGACTGTGTGTTGCCCATTGACAATCAAGTAAGAAATGACATTGGAACTTATGGATGAATGTTATGTATATTCAGTCTTGTATTATGTTTATGTGTTTATATTAAACATTCTCTTCACTTTTCAGCCTTCTTAGAGAAAAAATCAGTTTAAATTGTTTTTCTTTCTCTTTCCTAGTAGAATATCATCTATATCCACTCTTCTTAATAGCTTCTCTCCTGATGTTTTTCCCTCGAAAGTCTTTATTTGACATCATTAGCAAAATCGACCTCATGGTGAATTCTGGAAAGTTGGGTACAACTGTGAAGCCAAAGAGCCTGGTTACTTCAAGTTCTGGGGCTTTAAAAACGCGGCATAAGAAGCCCTTTGATGCAATGAATAACATTGTGGCAAATTTGCTGCTCAACCTAACGAGGTAATTCTATCCAGGGATAGTCGAAAAACTTTATTGTGCTTTTGGTGATATTTTGAATTTTTGTAGTATCATTTTTTAGTTATTCTAAATTGTAGAAGCTGCTTCTGTTTTTATTTTGTCTTCTATCTTCTTTTCTTGGAGTGATCAAGCATAATTTTAATTTCTATGACTCCAAAGCAGCATTTCCCCAAGTATATTCCATGGAATATTAATAGGTATCATATGATGTAAAAGATTTTGTGGTTGACACACTTGCGAAACACGTAGACAAAATTAAATATTTTTTAGCTGTGGAATGTCTTAATCATTTAAACCAACTAATCTGTACCTCCTCATTAGCTGGACCAAAAGATTTCTGTGGCTTTTTGGTATCAGAGATTGCTTTGACATTATTATATTCTAGATTATAGAATATATTAAGCAGATTCTTGAGGAATTTAGTTGTTTCTCAGTTCCTAATTATTGACCTATATGTGTTTAACTCAAATATAAAGTTTGTTTTAAATAGGATATTTTTGTATGTGTAATAAGCAACTGTAATAGTATATTGGTTACACTTCAGATAATCCAGAAACAGGAATTACTGTAGGGCCAGGCATGGTGGCTCATGCCTGTAATCTCACCACCTTGGGAGGCCAAGGCAGGTAGATTGCTTGAGCCCAGGAGCTGGAGATCAGCCTGGGGCACATGGTGAAATCCCATCTCTACAAAAAATAAAAAATTAGCCAGGCATGGTACTGTACACCTGCTGTAGTCTCAGCTGCTCAGGAGGCTGAGCTGGGAGGCGGCGGTTGCAGTAAGCTGAGATCACACCACTACACTCCAGCCTGGGCAACCAGAGTGAGACCCTGTCTCCAAAAAAAAAAAAAAAATTTAGATGTTGTGTGTTATGTTTTATTTTATACATCATTGTTCTGATACTAAATTTTACTAATATGGAAGAAAAGCATGTGTTCTACACTGAAGAAGTGTGCAAAAGAATTTGAGAAACTACCTGCTGAGTAAATCGAGCTACATTTAAAAGTGTATAATTTTAAAATTAAACATTTTCTCATCATTTTAATCTTAACTTTTTAGCTCTGCAAGATTTGAAGGATCCCTTAATATGGACCTTAATGAAATCAGCATGAATTTAGTTCCTTTTCCTCAACTTCATTATCTCGTGTCAAGCCTAACACCTCTGTATACACTTACAGATGTTAACATTCCTCCTAGAAGGTAAGGTGTAACTGTTTCAATTTTTTGAGGCTTCATATTACTTTAAAAAACATTTTTAAGAGAAAAAAGTTTGCAATAACTCTAGTTATTTAATTGTATCATCTTATCTGTGAGAAGTATATAAAATACAGTTGATGACAGCCATTTTTCCGTTAGATGAATGCATCTTTATTTAGAATTAATTGTTGAAAAATGTCAGTATTAAACTATTTGAACTTTAATGATTAAATGTGTAGGCTTATGAAAAGTCCTTTGAAGTCTGACAAACACATTTGAATCCTAATTGTCACTAGCTACAGGACCTCGGGCAAGTGACTTAAACTTTCTTAGTTTTTCTCATCTGTAAAAATGAAATAGTACCTACCTCATATACTTACTGGGTAGATTAAATGAGTTTGTTTTAAAGCTACTATCACAGCCCAGTACCATAGAAGAATTTCAGATGTAACTTTGTATGTTTTCCAGAACACCTTGCTTTATAACTGTGTGTCATTGTTAAGCATAAAGATTACATCAGTATACTTAACAAAAAATGTTAAGTACTCTTAGCATGTATACCGACGATGAGCTTGAGAAGTTCACAGTGGCATTCACAGTTGACTGAGGGCAAAAGTCCTGCCAAACTCTGTAAGGGGACAGTATGTAAATAAGAAAGGAAAAACTAAATTGGCTGAGTGCCATGGCTCACACCTGTAATCCCAACACTTTGAAAGGATGAAATGGGAGGATCACTTGAGCCCAGGAGTTCAAGACCAGCCAGGGCAACATAGTGAGACCCTATCTGCACTTGTAGTCCCAGCTACTCTGGAGACTGAAGTGGGAGGATCACTTGAACCCAGGAGTTTGAGGCTGCATTGAGCTATGATTTTGACCCTGCACTCCAGCCTGGGCAACAAAGCAAGACCCTGTCTCTAAAACAGATTGAAAATAATTTTTAAAAAGTTTTTAAAGAAAACTAAATTAAAGATTCCTTTTTATAATTAAAGTTTTGACAAGATAATTCTATACTTTAGGAATGTCACAAGTGATATTGGTAAGTTTTCATCTAAGCCAACAGCAAATGACCACTTTGCCAACTGATAGGACTCCCTTTCTGCATGGGATGCTGGTGACCTTAACAAGCTAAGCATCATACCCAGTGTGTGCAACATGGTGATTATTAAATGTCCATTGGCATCAGCCTAGCATTGGAGTCTTTGTATTGTTAGATAAAAACTTTGTCAGTCACCTTTATTTTCGTCTTTTATCTTTCAGTTAAAAGACTTAGGTTAAAAGTCTGCTTTTAGGAGCACTACTATGGAGTTTCATCTTTTTTTTTTTTTTTTTTTTTTTTTGAGACGGAGTCTCGCTCTGTCGCCCAGGCTGGAGTGCAGTGGCCTGAACTCAGCTCACTGCAAGCTCCGCCTCCCGGGTTCACGCCATTCTCCTGCCTCAGCCTCCCGAGTAGCTGGGACCACAGGCGCCTGCCAGCTCGCCCGGCTAGTTTTTTTGTATTCTTTAGTAGAGACGGGGTTTCACTGTGTTAGCCAGGATGGTCTCGATCTCCTGACCTTGTGATCCACCCGTCTCGGCCTCCCAAAGTGCTGGGATTACAGGCTTGAGCCACCGCGCCCAGCTGGAGTTTCATCTTTTATAGGAGAGCTTCACATTGTCCTTTGATAATTTCCTCCTGTTAACTAATTTATGATATAATATACTTTACAAAGTAATAGTCTTAATGTTACAGGCTTTTAATTAGTTTTAGTAGTTTGGATACTATGAAATAAATAAGGTATACTGAACTAAGTAATAATGATACAAATTTCAAAAATCAGTACTACATAGAGTTCAGTAATACTACAGTCAACATTTTGTAGCTACCTGAAATCACCAATATACTGCAGAAGCTTTTTCCTCCCAGAAAAAGAAAATATTACATGATTTCTTCTCTTTTCATATCATCAAGATTGCTTCAAGAAAATTATAGTTATTTAATATTTTTAGAATACATATAATCTAATATTTTGTTAGTGTAATATTTAGTGTGGTGTATTTACTTATAGAGGACTGTCTTCATTTTAGTTAGACCTAGAAGAAAGCAGTGATATTTTGTATAAACAATGACACTTTCACTGTTACAGATTGGATCAGATGTTTTCAGATGCCTTTAGTAAAGACCACCAGCTGCTTCGGGCGGACCCCAAACACAGTCTTTACCTTGCCTGTGCGCTCATGGTTAGAGGAAATGTACAAATTTCAGATGTTCGTAGAAATATTGAAAGGTTTGGTTTCTATTTTTAAAGATAATTTGTGTGTGCTGCTTGGGACAGTGTGGCATAGTAGTTAGTTAACAGCCGCCCTTCAAATTCTAACAATGCCACTTACTAAAGTGTGACCTTGAACAAACTACTTAGTCTCTTTGTGCCTTGTTTTCTTCAAGTGTAAAATAAGGATAATAATAGTACATAGTTTTTATTTAGGAGTATTAAATGATATATGACATGTTTTATGAAAGTGTTCAGAAAATCATAGCTATACTATTTTTATTACCAGTACCACCAGTACTACTACTACTACTACTACTACTTCTGATTTTTGTGTTACTATTTCATTCTATTTATCAGAAAACTAGTCTGTTGAATTACAAAGTAAGGAAAATGATAGTACCTTCATTTGTTTATATCCCTAGATTTCTCCTCTTGAGGAATGAGTTTCTAGCTTCTTGAATCACCATCACAGCCAACTTAATGTTCCCCTACAAAATGTCTCTTAGTTCACTGTCCGACTGTACCATGTTATTGCCAATGGTAAAAAATAGATAATTTAGCATCTAAACTAAGCAATTAGAATGGTACCATCCATAATGTTCTGGTTTAACTAATATGAGCACTGCCATAATATGGCAGACATTTTTAGTAACTTAGTTCTTACCTTTGAGATTTTTTTTTTGAATCTCAGATTAAAACCATCTCTACAATTTGTCTCCTGGAATCAAGAAGGCTGGAAGACCAGCCTGTGTTCCATACCTCCTGTGGGCCATTCTCATTCTTTATTAGCTTTAGCAAATAACACGTGTGTGAAGCCCACCTTCATGGAACTGAAGGAGAGATTCATGAGGCTCTACAAGAAAAAGGTAATTATCGTACAGCTTTGTAACTGTATGTGTTTATTTTGGCTATTTAAGATGTATTCTTAAAAATTACACTATTACAAATCAGAGGTGATCTTTTCTATATGTGTTGTACTGATTATAACTGAAGAGGAGAGGCTTGCTCATACTACTTTTACTCTAAATGAGAACATTCATGAGTTTATGGGATTCAATCAATTTGACACAAGTTCTCTTTCAAGTGTAGAGCTGAACTCTAATTTTAATAAGGAATATTTACCTTTTAGGATAGTCATATGTATTAAAGTTCCTGAAATGGTAAACGTTACCTAATTTTTTAATTTATAGGCTCACCTTCATCACTATCTACAAGTTGAAGGGATGGAAGAAAGCTGTTTCACAGAAGCTGTGTCATCTTTATCAGCACTCATACAGGAATATAACCAACTGGATGCCACAAAAAACATGCCTGTGCAAGATTTACCCAGACTAAGCATAGCTATGTAAAAAAGAAACCCTCAAAAATACTTTCTTAATTTCACATTGTTTTTTCTGACCTTTCTGTTTCAATATTTTTGTAATTTGGAAACCAGTTTTTTCATATTAGGAAATATTTTTGTCTAAAAGAGTGATTTCTGTTTAATCACAATTTGTTGGTAATACCAATGTGTGAAATTAATGAAATCTTAGTACCTTAACTTCAAACATTTCTCTTCAGAAAAGTTCCCTTTTCTAAAATTGAGAGAACAGAGTTCTTGAATATTTTGCTGTATTTATAGCCTCATATTTAGGCATTTATGCACTGATAATCATATCTTCAATTAAAATCTTGTATAGATATATTTGTATAATTATTTATAATTTATATTTTGATATTCTATTTAAGTTATCCTGATTCTTTAAACGTAGATCCTGGGAGTAGAAGAACACAGTATAAATATTTCCATGTAATATCCACTAAATTTTCAGGCATAGGTTTTATTACAACTGTTAAGGAGGTTTTGCTGCTTCTTTAGATAACAATTTGTTTGCTCAAAAGAATCCTAATTTGTACACTTAACATGTATTTGTATTAAACTTTTTAAATAATTGCTTTCTTATCAAACCAATTGATTTTATAATAAATGTCCATGTTTTTCAACAGTACTACTTGTTATTGTTCTGCATGTCATTTATACAAATGAACAGAATGTTACTAAGCTTGATACCTTCCAAACTTTGCAATAAATGGCTGTAATTGTTCCAGTTACTATAATCTTCAGTTCTAGCCTTAACATTAATTTATTTTTAATAGCAATTTATATTTCAGATCCACAGGTTAATTTTAAGTTTTATTATTTATATTTCTTTCCTTTGCAATGTAATGATACGGTTCTTGGTCTTTGTCTTGGAAATTTAATTTTTTATAATATTCAATATAAAAAATTTTAGATTGCAGTTGTTAACAGTGGCCAGAAAAGTTGCATTTTCTCCTCTCCAAAAGAAACTGATGTTAAAGATCAGGCAATGAAAAGTCTAAATATATTTACAGCTTAATCTTATTACTGTTCAAGAATTAATCTAGAATTTCACTTGCCCTATAATGATTTATCAACTAATGGGCACCCAGGCTACATTGTCAAATATAGATTAAATTTTTTAAATTTAGTATGCTTTTTTCCCCCCCAAAGGAGTCTTGCTCCTCCGTGCCAGTGCAGTGGTGCAATCTCAGCTCACTGCAACCTCCACCACCTGGGTTCAAGCAATTCTTCTGCCTCAGCCTCCCCAGTAGTTGGGATTACAGGCACACGCCACCACACTCAGCTAATTTTTGAATTTTTACATTACAGACAGGGTTTTACCTTGTTGACCAGGCTGGTCTCAAACTCCTGACCTCAAATGATCTGTCCACCTCGGCCTCCCGAAGTGCTGGGATTACAGGCATGAGCCACTGTGCCCAGAGTAAAATTTAGTATGCTTTTTATACATCTTTAGCAAGTATTCCAGATTGTTTTGTAAAATATTTTATTGTAAATTGCATATTTTTTCATATACAAAATGCTTAGATGGTATCAAATGTCTGCATATTATATAATTATAGGATATGTTTTAGAAATGAGTTCAATTTTTAACTTTTTCAAATTTTATGTATATTTTTAGGATATCTTTTTTTAAAAGCTTCTAATGCCTTAAATGTTGTGATCTAAGAACAGGCATTCATACTGTTTTAAACAAAACAGATTTGCCACCATTTTATACTCACTAATTTTTTTATTATATGATAGGGTTGACTAACTTTTCCCCCATTTGCTTTGTTTTACAGAATCTTGAGCTCAGAAAATATATCTCCAGGTTCTCTGCAGTTTCTCTGACATACACAAGATGTAATCCACAGCATCTTCCATTTAAATGACCCCTCATTTGGGCAATCGAATTGAATAGTAATCATTTTAGACTTATTAGGGATACAGCATCTCTTATCCAAGCATATTCCACAAAAAGTGGGTTTGTAACTCTGAGTACTTGAGCATCCAGAAAAGACAAATTTTTCAGCTTTGGAGAGTTGGAAAATAGGTTGGCATGTTTTTCCTTTGGGGATCTGAAAAGATACATAAAATGAAGTCATTCTTTAAATTTGATTACAATAGTTTAGAAAAACAACATGTAGAATATTTTATAGTACAAACAATTATTTGGAGGCATTAATAAAAGTTGTTATGTAGTGATTTCCAGCACTCTCTTCTCTACCCTTAAGATCCCCTTCTCATCAGAGGTCTGTCCTAACTGTCCTCTCTGTTCTTCCTCCATCATATTATAGCACCTATTCCTCAATGTTTTTTGCTATCTGTTCTTTACTCAATTTTACAATAAATAGAAATTTCTGTTTTGTTTAATATCAAGGGCCATGTCTTATTAAATATTTATCTAAGACTTAGCAAAGTCCATAACACAGCCCAGACAGTTTTCAGTGGATGGGTAGATGAATACTTACCCTAATCTTTCTTTAAAACTGAATTGTCAGCCGGACACAGTGGCTCACGCCTGGAATCCCAGCACTTTGGGAGGCCGAGGCAGGCAGATCACGAGGTCAGGAGATTGAGACCATCCTGGCTAACATGGTGAAACCCCGTCTCTACTAAAAATACAAAAAATTAGCCGGGCGAGGTGGCAGGTGCCTGTAGTCCCAGCTACTCGGGAGGCTGAGGCAGGAGAATAGCATGAACCCAGGAGACGCAGCTTACAGTGAGCTGAGATCACGCCACTGCACTCCAGCCTGGGCAACAGAGCAAGGCTCCGTCTCACAAAAAAAATAAAAAATAAAAATAAAAAAACGGAGTTGTCAACTTGCTAATATGATAGAGAATAACTTTGGGGTGAGAGGATTGTGTAGCATTTCTAAAAATTACCCTTTTTGAGACAGACTTCCTGCCTCGTTCAAGAAGTAAGACCAGCTCTAGTTATACCAAACAATCTTAGGGTAAATATTTTATTGTAGTGTTTTAGCAAGTATACTATGTAAGCATAGCATTTTGGAAATGGTGTGGCTTCCTTCCAAGTTAGTGATATATAACTAAGATCAGGACTTCTCTAATGTTCATAGTATCTGTTTTCATAATTATAGTGTAGCAACCAAAATCTTTTATTCATTAACATAGAAAAAACAAGTTAGAATCTGCTCTGGTTGGTAAAATTTTCCCCACAACGTGCAGTTATTACCTGTTTTCCTCTGAAATAGTTTGACTTTAAGCATTATAATGAGATGGTTTTATTTTTCTAAGAACTAAACACATCCCTCCCTCCAAAACACACACATGCTTACTTTTCAGGAATCTCTTAATATGGAATTAAGTTAAACATATTTAAACTTTACCTTTATTGTCTTTAATATATTGCTGTCACAAGGCTGAATGTAACACAGTCTTTTCTCTTTTCTCATTTCACAGTTGCTGTTTTCATTGGTCACCCTATTAGATATTCCCATCCCACATGTTCTGGAGCAGGGAGTCCACTTTGTTGCTTGCACGAGACATTTTCTTTTCCAAATAAGTGGGAGATTCCTATAAGCTAAAACGGAGAAAAGTACATATGTATACATATAAATGTACTTGTATAAATAGATAATTTTTAACCATGTTTAAGCTAATGTTTAAGAAATCTGAATATTTTTGTATAATATAACTCAGAATAAAAGAAGCTGATGGTCTAATTTATCATTCTATCTCCCTCTTTCCCAACCCCAGAATTAACTTTCAATCAAGTATTACAGTCCAACCTCTTAGGAGGAATAAAAATACTTTATCTTTGAAAAACTGAGAAGATTTACTCATTTGCATTTTTCTGCTTTGCCTGTCCTCTGAATCCTAAGCCTAAGCTTATGTTCCTGTTGAGTTGTCTTTTCCCTGGTTCTTGCCTGATCATTTCTAACAGACGTTGAAACAAAAATTAGAGAATTTGAGATATTGATCAGAACAGTGTGATCTTAATGTTAACTTTCATAATATGTTAAAATCTAAAATACAAAAATTATATTTGAAAATGAGACTATCAGCGAGACCAGATTTCTTCCACTTGTTTTAATCTAGTCTTTTAGAAAACTGTCTAATTAACTAATGCTATACTGAACTAAACTAATAGTTTATATGCAAAGTTATTGCAAGTGTATAATTTCATTCATTCAACTTAATTGTCACACTCCCTATGTTCTTAGGCCCAAAGCACTCTCCAATTGGGTAGGATTTCAAATTACTTATGAAAAAACAGAATGGATGGATCAATAGATGGGTCAGTGAGTGAGTAGATAGAGACCCTCCAATGTCTGCTGCTAAAGGGAAATAGAAGGGGAAGAAAGAATATAAGAGGGTATAATAATGCTCCCATTTCCATGTAAGGTCACTGGGAGCTTCTTGTTATAAATGAATCAAGCCCTTGGCTCATTTTAAGCAAACTACATATTGACTTACTGTCTCAAGGCATTTCCTTAAGGTTAATGTGCATCTTGAAATGAATGCTTTGGGAGTACGGTTGTGATTTGAGTCTGCACAGCAAAATTCTGGCTATATTACTTCAAAAAAATCAATTTAAAACTTGAAAAAGACCCAGAAAAAAAAAAAAAAAAAGGCCTTCTTCATAGGAAATAGTCTCTTTAAAGTATGTGCTCTATTTTAATTGATACTATGACACTGCTTTCAGTGTTATTACAGTAAAGTCTCTTGCAATTGCACGTAGAACTGAGGAGAGGAAGCAGAAACGTGAAGATACCTGGAAGGTAGACAACAGTTTAAAGACCTCTGAAATAGTTTGCAGGAAGCAGATTAGAAGCTTGGCACACATCTGCAATAAATAAACGCAGGTTAGATTACCGTGTTACCAGTAATCCTACTTGTTAAACCAAGAGCTGTAGTTCAGGAATTTACCATTCATTAAAAAGCAAGAAAACTAGAACAGATTTTTTTTAAACAAAGCTTAGTGTTTGGTGAGCATTGAAGAAAGCATGAGGGCATTATGTCATTGCATGCTTCATACTGACCTAGCAAAAGCTAGATTCCAACCATAGACTACAAGTTACTGTCACAAATGTATCTTAAAGTATGTGTTTTTGTCATTATGGTTCATTTTAAAAGCCAAATTCCTGTGTGGGCCATAAATATAATTTCACAGTTAAGCAAAGAAGAGACATTAGACTGAACATGTACTTCATTTGAAACACATCTAGCTCTAAATCGCAAATACTAGAGAACACTCAAAGCGCTAACTACCAAGACTGACTATCTGATGCCTTTCCCAACCAAGGTCAAAGTGAATCCACTGAACTGCTCTAACTTCTAAAATGAGACCAACTTGAACTTGATCCAAAGGACTCCACTCGTGGAAAACTGCTCTAAGGTAGTCTTTCCAGGGAAGTTTATGCATGGGTTCTAAGAGCCTTATATTGAATCACTAAAATCCAACGCAGAAAACTAACTGTTCTGTACATTTTGAAAAAAAAATAATAAGGATAGGGCTTATAATTTCAGAGGTTTTAGAGCATTAACAGTGTCATGCTGTCAACTGAACATGTCTAGTAAATGCAAGTTCACCACAACCTGGTAAACTTTTTTTCCAATTAACTGACAAAACTGGAGTTGCTGAGGATGTTCCTTTTATAGAGTTAGTTTTTAAATATCTAAAACTCATTTCCCTGCTTATGGTTGCCTTTATTAAATATCCACTTAATAAAAATGAACTTATGAGTTGTTAACATATACAAGTATTCTGCATTTGCATGGCACCTCTCACTAAGCTCTAAACTTTAAGAAAAAGCCATTCTTGATTTCTGGTTGAGAACACAGAGGTGTGAACAAGAACCAGACTTCAATGTTACCCCTTCCGAGTCCTTCCTCTTCTATATTTGCTGGTGGTTTTAAAACTCCTGTTCCCAAAATATGCTGATGCTTAAATAAAATGCTAACTTAGAGCAGACCAGGATACAAGGTTTATGAATATACTTAAGCTGTTTGCAAATGGTCAGGTATACAAGATGAGTAATGAAGAATCACACTTCAGTTTTCGGAGTACATAGATACATGGGTAACCTACTTAAAAATGCCTGTGTGTGTGTGTGTGTGTGTGTGTGTGTGTGTGTGTGTGTGTGTTTACAGACAGAGAGATTAGCAATTGAACTTCAATTTCAGAGTGAATGAACAGACTTCCTATGAGATTTCTATTTTTAGAAATAATATTTACAAGTTCAAAATATGTGTCACTTTTTATTTTTCAGCAGTAGCCTCTCATTTCTGCCTGTATCACATAGAAATGTTGCCTTTTAAAATTTGGGGAAGTGGATGGTCAGACTTCTTGCCCATAATAGAACAATACAAATAAGTTATTCCAGGGTACCTGTGAACAATATTTGGTCAATTTTCCTGAGAAGAGTTTGGGAATAAGCAGAGGTGTAAGATTTTAGAAGAGCTTCCTGACCTAGTAGATCTTTTAAAAATGTTTTTAAATGTTTTACCAGAAAATTCTAAAACATTATAACATTTCCTTTTCAAAAGTTTATCCCGGTCTGAGGCAAAGATTGAGTAAAATGATACACTCAAACTATATCTCACTCTGACCACCAATCAGTAAGTACTTACTGAGTACCTATGGTACATAAAAGGAACATGAAGGAATACCACCAAGGTCATACATGAAAAATAACTCTACTTATGAGCACCTGGCATTGTTTTGTAGCTTGTTGAAAGCTGCTGTAGTAATGGTTCCAGGCCACAGTTTGACTGATCAGACTTCTTTCCACCTTTAGCTCCAGAGCAGTGACCGTCAGCCAGCTTTGGTATAAACAGAGGCGTGCATCCAATGGCGCCACTCACACAGAGGCAGCTAAACAAGGGGTTGGGCTGAAACACTTGGCCATTGTGATAATGTACCTGGTTGAACTCGCATCCAACAGCTACAAGGTCTGAAAAGAGAAAAGAGCAAAATTGTCAAAGAAGCCATAACCTGTGACAGTGTAGACCTCCAATTATAAACCTAAGAAGAAATGGATTATCTCCTGTATGAAGTATAGCTCTCAACCTCTTAGGTTCCATTTGGAACCTCCTTCATGGGACATCTGTAGAACGGTTTCTAAAGTGAGGCATTTTCATTATATTGTAGGCTATACACCCCACATGGTCACTTCCAGAATTAAGACCAAGTAAATATCCTGTAAAATCACCATAAGAATAGCAGTTGATAATAAATCTGAGATAGGCTGATGCCTAGTGAGACAGGTTTTCCCAGACATCCAACAATAGGCTAGGATATATTCTTAGGAAGACAGGACAAGTGAATGTCTGAAGAAACTATACTTTAGTTAACTACAGAACTGCAAGGTACTGATGGTTTTTGTTAAGAGATTGTAGGAGAGTTTCACTTCCTCTGAGGCGTATTCTTGACCTTCTGGATAGGCTCTTCCCCAGGTGCGGTCCTCTAATCCCTTGGCAGTACCCGAGACACTTTTAGGGGATCTGCAAGGTCAAAACTCTTTTCCAAATACTAAGATGTGGCTGGCCTTTTTCACTGTGTTAGTATTTGCACTGGTGTACAAAAGCAACTGTAGCTAAAACTGAACTGCTGGTGCCTTGGCATGAATCAAACTGTAGAAGTAATCTTGTATTTTTCCTTGCCAGGTACTTATACTTTAAAAGGGGGAGGAGTTTTACCTAAGAATGTCCTTGATGGCACAGTAAAAAGTATTAATTTTATTAAATCTTAATCATCAAACACTGGTGTCTTTAATATTCTATGTAACAAAATAGGAAATATACATAGAATATTCCAGTGCAATAGCTGTCTTGAAACTTCAGCAAATGACTGTCTCAGGGAAACTTAAGGAAGCATGTCATTGGTAAAGTTGTGAGCTGAGCTAACCACTTTTTTTAGTGGGAATTTTACTTGAAGAAATGACTGATGATAAACTGGTTATTCAGACTTTCGTATTTTGGAAACCTTTTTCTTTGAAAATGAGCAAACTGAGCCTGCCACTTCAAGGAAAACAACTGTGACAGCATTTTTTGTCAATGCGAGAATTCGAGATTTCAAGGAAAAATTCAAATTTTGGAAAACTTGTATCCATCACTGAAATCTTTATATTTATCCAATATGTAGACTTTTCTGGTGAGGATGACATTAATGTGATTTTTTTAGATGTTACATAATTAAGTGTATCAATATTTTGAACATCTCTACAACACAGTAAACATATTTTCCAAATGAACAATGCATAGAATGGCAAAATTATGCATGAGTAAAAGATCTATTCCAAATGGGTCTTGGATAGACCAATGCATTTTAATGTCACAGAGTTGAAAGTTCATTGATGTGGTTTCAGATTCCATGATGCAGCTAATTTTTAAGACACTATCACTTGTCAAGTTTTAACATATCAATAAACATAAAAGTGTATTCACAATTATCTGAAAAGCCTGTTAAAATATTCCTCCCTTTTCAAATTACATATCTGTGTGATGCCAGATTTTCTTCACATATTTCAACCAGAAAAACACATAGTAACAAATTGAAAGAAGCAGCAGATGTGTGACTCTAGCTATCTTCTATTGAGCTAGACACTAGAGAGATTTTCAAAACATGTAAAACAATGACACTCTTTTACTATATTTTTCTTTGGAAAATAAGTTATATGTTTTTTCATAAAAACATTATTCTTATTAATCTGCAATGGGTTTATTCTTTTTAAATGAATTAATAAATATTTCTAAATTTCTAATCCATCAAATATCAATGGATAAAACCCACATAAAAACTCTTTAGGTCCTCATTAATTTCTTAGAGTATAAAGGGGTAATTTTTAGACTATAAGGGGTCATTTCTAAATGACTAAACTAAAAGGGGTCATTTCTAAGACTATAAAGGGGTCCTCAGATCAAAGTTTTTACAATGTTGCTCTTGATCAGGGATCATCAAGTTTTCTGCAAAGAGCCAAATAGAAAATATCTTAGCCTTTGCAAGCCAGAGAGTGTTTAGTGAAAACTACTGACTCTGCCATTGAAAAGCAGCCGTAGACTCTACGTTAATGTGCCATGTTCCAATAAAGCATTATTTACAAAAACAGGCTGTGGGCTAGATTTGACTCTCAGGTCATAGTTTGGGGCCCTAGTTACAGATCATCCCCATTCCTATCCTCGTGGCTATGCTCTGTTAAAAGTCTCATCACATTTTGTGTGAAATTACTTATGGAAAGGTCTGACACCTTAATATTTGATTTTCTGAGGCCAAGGCCTGTATCTCTTGTTTTCCCTGTCATGTCCTCGGTTGCTGGCCACAGTGCTTGGTTGTGTAGTGGATGGTCACTAAGGGGTTAATGAAATAACCTGCCCAGCTTGGGAAAAATGGGTGTCCTGAATGCCACATTGTTTGATAGGTCATGTTTTCCTTATAGGATTCCAATAAATAACATTTTTGAGAGCCTACTGAATACCAGATGTTGTGCTAGGTGTTTTATGTCATTATTTTATTTGATCCGCCCAGCAACTCTATAAGCTAGGAAGTACATATTATGTAACTGAGGCACAGAGAAAATAAACAACTTGATCAAGTGTATTCAGTGAGCAAAGCAGTCAGGACTTGAACCTAGATCCCACATTTTTAACCATACAATACAGTGCTGGCAGGGGCATCCAGCTATCAAGCTTGAGCACTCTACACATTCAGCGTGACTCCAAAGATAGACTCTCATTCGGTGGCTCATAACCAAGTTTCTGATCGTAATTTGCCTTCCTGCTTAGACTTTTCTGCAGACGGACTAAACTGCCCAGGTGATATGAGTATTTCTCTTTCCTTAGAAATTTTATTTTTTTATCCTAAATAATTTGGCATCCTGAATTAGTGTCAATGTTTAGATGGTCTGAATCCATCTCCAGAGCTTAGTCACACAAGGCTGAGGGTCAGATTGTGGTTTCGGGTGATCTCACCTTTTTTTTACAAATCTGCTGAAGTAAAAGGCACAGCAACTCAATCATTAGTTGGCAAAGCTGAGGTTAAAGTTGTATCTCTGAATACTGGGTATACATTCTAATATTTTTAAGCAGATTATTTTTTGTTACAGAAAAGGCTGAAGTTGGATTGTTTTTGACAGTATTAACAAAAGCTGTCATTTTGTAGCACTTTAAGAGGTCAGACTCTAGATAATTCCTTTTATTTTCTATCATTAAAAGCAATTACCTGAGAAGAACTGCAAGATCACCTCAATGCAATGAAAATAATGGGTTTCTGAATGTGTGTAAGCATCTGCTAATTTCACGTAGTATCCAATACAATGGAGCCAGTCCCACTGGTGCATGAAAACTAAACCCACTTCATATTTAGCCAAACTAAGCTGATCACTCGAAGCTAACAATTGCAGGAAAGAAATCTGTCTAGACTCAATCTTTTCCAGCAGGTCCAGAAGAAGACACTTACATGCACACACTCCAGTCTCGTACCTAGGCCTGTCTACTGAGTAGTCACAATACAGCCCTTTGTGTGGGTCACAGAGGTCAGCTTCATTGCAGATTTCCCCTGGTTGCTTGGCACAGATTTTACAGCATCCACAGCCGTCTCTCACCAGGCTCACTCCAGGAGGGCAATGGGGCTTCTGATGAGGGCATTTGCAGGGCCAGTGACAAAACTGTTTACGCTGATGTGCATCTGACACTTCTCCAGGCCTTCCTTCGGGTGTTGTATCTAACGGTCCAGTGCCCTGTGCCCTGCAGCAGAACTTCATTTGATAATAAAGGTGATGTTAGAAATAGCTTCTCTATGTAATAGTATAATAGGAATAGAAGATTTCCCACAAACAGGTAGTATACAGTGTGGTGAGTTATAATCATTATAACACCTATCAGCATTTGACACAATTACTCTCCTTAAACTATTCTTCACTCAGCCTCCCAGACTCTTAGAGGCTCTTATTCCACTTATTCCACTCTTATTCCTCCTTTCTCATTGACTGCTCCTTCTCACTCTCCTTTGCCAGTTTCTTCTTATCCTCTTAATCTATAAACCTCAGAGCCCCATGGATAAGGCCTCTAAAGTATCTTCCCTCACTAATATCTCTTATCTCCAACTCATACCCCTCTTCTGAACTCAAACTGCCTACTTAACATCTCCACTTCGATGTTTAATAGGCATAGCAAATTTAATATGACCAAAAACAAGCCCCCAAGCTTCCCCCAATCTGTTCTTCCACACACTTCCCCATTTGAGCAAATGCCAATATATTTCCAAAATACCTTGATATTAGATCATGCTTGACTCTTCTCTTTCACATTTTACATCTAATTCCATCAATAAATGCTGTTTATTACACCTTTAAAAATACCCACGCTAATCATTTATTGATGCCCTCTCTGTTACCATCATAATCCAAGTCACCATTGTTCCCTTGGATGATTACAATAGCCTCCTGAATGTTCGCCTTGCTTGCTCCTTTGTCCACTTGACATCCAGAACGATTCTTTTAAAATAAGCCAGGTCATATCACTCTTTGCTCATATGGAGTGAATTCCTCATGGCCTCCCATTTCAATGTAAAATTCAAAGTGCCGCCATGGCCCTGAATCATGTGGTCCCCCTCCCCATATTACTTTGCCCACTGCCACTCACCCGCTTTGTGCCTCCACACCAGCCACACCAGCATCCTTGTTCTCTGACTCCACGCACATTCTGCCCCTAGATATCTTCATGGCTCACTCTTTTATTGTCTTCAGGTCTGTGCTCAAATTTCTCAGTGAGGCCCTCTTTGACCACTCTTTGTGAAAGAGCACCCTATCCCAGTCCTTTTGCCATAGAGTTTCCCACCTTTCTTATTACCTACACATTTCAGTTGTTTACTTTCTGATACCTGCACCAAGAATGTAAGCATCTTGAAAGCAAGGTCTTTGCCTAATGTCTGTCTTGACGACTGCAATCTTTATAAATCACTTTACGTGGTTATTTCAATCAACCTTCATAGCAACAGTGTGCAGTGGTGATTATACCATGCGATAGGCAGATAATGGTCCCCTCAAAGATGTCCATGTCCTGATCCCTGGAGCCCGTGCATATATATTACCTAAAACAATGAAGGGGAGTTTGCATATGTGATCAATTTAAGAATCTTGAGGTTATCACTCTTGATTATCCAGGTGGGCTCAAGGTAATCACAAGTACATTGGGTCCACCGGTGAAGGAGGCAGGCCTGTCAGAGAAGATGCGATGGCAGAAGCAGAGGTAGGAGCGATGCCGTTGCTGAAAGGGGTCATGGTCCAAGGAAGCCAGACAGCCTTTAAAAGCCAGAACAGGCAAAGAATGGATTCTCCCCTGCTGCCTCCAGAAGGGCAGCAGTCCTGCCAACACTTGATTTTAGCCCTGTAAGACCCACTTTTGGACACCAGATGTCCAGAACTGTAAATAATCTTGTGGCTTTAAGCCATTCAATTTGGTGATTTCTTACAGCAGCAATAGTATACTCCATTTTATCAGTGAGGACCCTGAGACTCAAATTATTTAAGTTGTCCTATGTGACAGATCAAGAGGTAGAAGAGCAATTTATATCAGGCAGGCAGTTTCCAGAGCCTAAGCTCTCAACACTTACCCTCCTTCCTTTCCTAGTCCAACTCCTACTGCAACCCAGCTTTGATACTGAGCAAATCACTGAATCTCTGCATCTGTTTCTCCAGGCTAGACCTCATCCCTTAAGCTTACAACTTATTCGTTGCTACTGAACATATGTACGTTGAGGTTCTACAACTACCCTCCCCCTGACAAACTGCTCCTCAACTAGCAGTTCCCATTTTAGTGAATGGCATCACCATTCACTCAGGACCCCTAGTCAGGAAGCTGAAAACCATCTGGATTTCTTCCTCTCCCTCATCCTAAACACCTGAAAGTGTCTGACCTACAGGAAAGGTGAAAACACTTACGCACAGCATTCAGGTCCCTCCTCGTGTCTTGCAGTTCTTGTATGCATTAGGTTCCAGAAAGTTAAAGTGCCTGCAGTTCCCTGCATATGTGATGCTGTTCCTCCTGCCGGGAACATTCTGCCGAGACCCTGCTCCTTCTTCATCTAGTTATCCTTCAAGGTTCTGTTTCAGTATCATCTTTTCCAGAAAGGTTCCTGTAACTTCCCTGCCTTGCACAATTTTAAACTGAAATTACCCAAGTAAGTGCCTATCTCTTCCACTAACCACAAAGTCACCCAACCTCAGGTGCTTGTGGTTTGTTTGTGAGTATACCACCAGCACTTAGCACAGTGCCTGCCAATTCACTTATGTAAATAACTCTTAATGTTTATTTGATGGAACTGGGGGCTGTTGAATTGATTCCTAGATCTAAGTCAATTTGCACCTCAAAAACTCTACATTTAGAAGTATCTGTATGAAATTCCACCTAATATTAAACACTCAGCCTTTTTTCCTACCGCTGGTAAAACACGTATGCCCCAGTAAAGAGTAACATTTCAGCTGCCATTCAAAAGTTGCATGCACAACGTGAGAATGGGTTTTGATGGGGAGGATAGGACACTGCTGGGCTTCTGGACAAGGAACAGGGGAAAAGGAAACACCAAAATGGAGAAGGGAGTAGAAATAGTAAAGCTAGAATCCTAAAAAACGTTTAAACTTAAAAAATTTTGCCTACTTCTCAATTTTGCACATGTTCAGCTATAGCCACCAGTGATTCAGGATGCCAGGTTCCATGGCCTCTTTGCTGGTCTCACGTCCGTGAAATCTCTTCAGTCCCCGCTCTTGCCCCACCTCTCTAAGGCATTTGACTCTCCTCTACCTTGGATTTCATTACATCTGGTCCCCCCAATACACCCCTTACTTTTCGACGTACTTTCTCAGTCTCCTCCACAGGCTCCTGTTACCCTGAATTTGACTTAGATTTAGGCCTATTGGTGTTTCTTAGCTTCAATGTATTGCTTGCCTCACTCTACACACCGTCTCTTGGCAATCTCACCCACCCGCTTGCTTTCAGTTTTCATCCTATGCAAGTTTGAAATCTAAATTTCCAGCCTGGACTTCTCCACTGAGCCCTAGACCCATGAGCTAACTCCCTACTGGACGTCTCCGCCCAAATGTCCTCCAGGAAATACTCAAGTCCAAAAGTCATCATTTTTCACTCTTCAAAGTCTGGAGTCAGGAATCTGGATTCATCTATGTCGTCTTCCTCTCTCTCACCTCCTATGGCCATTCAGTGACCTATCTTATGTATTCTATTGTCCTTGCCTTCCCAGAACTAGATACTCTTCCCCATTTCACTGCTACTAAGTAAGCACTATCCCTACGAGTTCCTGACTGGCCTTCCTCCCTCCAGAATGACTTTTCAAGTGTATCTACTACATTGCCGATGGAGTAATCTCTTTAAAGCACATGTCTGGTTATATTACTCCTCTCCTTAAAGCCCAATCAGGGGTTCCCCACAGTCTATACTGGGCAACCTAAACTTCTGGGCCAGGTATCCAAAGCCCTCCCCTGCCTACCTCTTGAGCTTTAGCTCTCACACACTCTCCTTCCATGCCTTGCCATTTGCTGGACTCCCTGGGTTGGTTTTCTCCTGCCTGCTTTTTCTCGTGTTCTTTCTAATGAAATGCGCACTCCCAAAACTGCCCCCCTGGATGCCTCTTTATCTCTCCAGTTTTTAAGCATTTCCAGATCATCTCTGAGGTCAAAAGGTAACACTGTTGACATCCAAGGATAAAGAGAAAATCATAACAGTAGACTGAGAAAAGCATTACATACAGAATTACATTAAATATGAGATCTGACTTCTTATCAAAAGACAGAGGGGGAGGAAGAGATGGAGAAGAAGATGCCCAAAGACAATGTTGAAAGGAAAAAAAAACCCAACCTGTCAACCCAGAATTATATGGCCAGTGAAACTATCTTTCAAAAATGAAGCTGACATAACCTGTAATCCCAGCACTTTGGGAGACTGAGGCAGGTGGATCACTTGAGGTGAGGAGTTCAAGACCAGCCTGGCCAACATGGCAAAACTCCATCTCTACTAAAAATACAAAAACTTATGCAGGTGTGGCGGCGTGCACCTGTAGTCCCAGCAACTCAGGAGGCTGAGACAGGAGAATTGCTTGAACCCAGGAGGCAGAGTTTGCAGTGAGCCGAGACGCACCACTGCACTCCAGCCTGGCCAACAGAGGGAGACTCCATCTCAAAATAAAGAAAGAAAATCATAACAGTAGACTGAGGAAAGGGGGAAGCATTACATACAAAAGTACAATAAAATTGAGATCTGACTTCTCATCAAAAGAAGGAGGAAGAGGGAGAGAGAGAGAAGAACAAGATGCCCAGAGACAATGTTAAATGGGGCGGGGGGAGAGAAATCCTGTCAACCCAGAATTATATAGCCAGTGAAACTATCTTTCAAAGATGAAGGTGAAATAAAAACCATTTCTGGGTAAACACAACCTAAGAGAAATTGTTGCTAGCAGATCTGCCTCACAAGAAATACTAAAGGAGGATCTTCAGTCTGCAGATCTTCTGTTATGATAATAACTTAGAAATACAGGAAGAAATGAAGACGCCTGGACATAGTCAATATGTGGGTAAATATAAAGAATCTTATATTTTTCTCTTTTCCTCAGACATATTTTGATTGTTTTCAACAGCAAAATTTCAAGACAATAAGCGGCACTAGAATGGTGCAATAGAAAGAATAAGCATTTTGGCAACAGATCCGAGCTTTGCGATAGCTCTGTGATCTTACAGAACTTCCCACCATTTGATCTCCTCTGTAATATGGGATTAATAATGCCAACCTTTAAAGTTGTTTTGATAATTAAGATTTATTATTATATAACCCCCGGCACCCTTGGGCCGGGCTCAGTGGCTCACACCTGTAAACCGAACATTTTGGGAGACCGAGACAGGCGGATCACTTGAGGTCAGGAGTTCAAGACCAGCTTGGCCAACATGGCAAACCCTATCTCTACTAAAAATACAAAAGTCAGCCAGGTGTGGTGGTGCATGCCTGTAATCCCAGGTACTCAGGAGGCTGAGGCACAAGAATCACTTGAACCCAGGAGGTGGAGGTAGAGCCGAGACTGCGCCACTGCACTCCAGCCTGGGCAACAGAGTGAGGCTCTGTCTCTAAATAAATAAATGAAGCAGCCAGCACAGTATTTGGCATATAGCAGATATTCAGTAAATGCTAGGTATTATCAGATATTTTATGAATTTATGAATTCATAAAAGCAAAGTTAAGCACAAAATAATCCATTCTTACCTCTCTGTGTGTAACACCTTTCTGTGTTTGTTGTTGTTTATTTTATACACATCTCTCTGTGTTGGAATACTTGCTGTCTAAGAACATGCAGCTGCTCTCAATCCACAATGACAGGCTTTTTCTCAAGAACAGTGGAATAGGAGACACACAGACAGGGGAGTGAGCCCCTCCACAGAACAGCAGCAATGACCTAGACCACTGACATTCTTGCATGATTCTTTTGAAATCGTAAATATCTCTCTATATGGTATAACAACTTCCAATTCCTTGTTTTCTAAGATATATCTACTACTTATGGTCCCAATCAACTACTAACTCACAGACACGCCCATGTTTTCTAAATCACCAGATTTCAAAACTCTGTCCCCTGTCTACCGTGTAAATAAATCAACAATTAAGTCACCTAGTTTTCATCTTCTTATTTAAAAAGACTAAGGCAATGAATTGCTCATAGTAAGTTAAACTTCCCTTTGGTCTGTTGCTTGAAATATTTCCAAGCCTCCGTAGACTGCTACCCTTTCAGGAAGTGAGAAACACATGGACTGAGAAAAGACAAAGTAAGAGAATGTTTTAAAAATGTAAATGTTTGTTCCAAAGTGCCCCTTTCAAACAAGGACAGGCTTAACTGGAAAAAGCCGCTGTCAAAATTCGTTTTTCCAGGGACTCTTTGCACATTTTGCAGACAGCAATGGAAAGTTGAGCCTCCGCCTGGAGCTGGCATGGAGAGACACTGTTTCCCACACTGTGCCAGGCCATGCCTTAGACTCTGCTACAAAAATATATAGGAAAGCGGGGGGCTGTTCAAACATAGCGAAAGGAGGCTTCAGTGCCATTACCTGAAAGGGAGAAATGTTTTACATTTCTTTCAGGAAGCCCATGAACTAACACAGAACTTTATTTGGAAAGAAAAATGGCTTCCTATTTCTTATGAAGTAGATGCACAAGCCATTGATCCTCCCTCTTCCCCATCTTCGTTTTGTTTAGCTTTGGCCTGAAGAACTGAGCATGGCTGTAGTCTCCGGAAGGGAAAAGTCGGGGGAGAGGACTTACCTGTGCCAGGTCAGCAAGCAGAAGAGTGGAGAAGAGGAGCCCCCGCATGTCGCTGGGACCGTGGAGCCACCCCGAGGGGTAGAGAAGTCGCCGCTTGTTCATTGCTCCGGCTACACAAAGCTCCCCTGTCTCCTCTGCAAACCCCAAGCTCCTCTGCACAAGAACACACACCCGCCACCTCCCACACTACCAACTCTCAGCCTGCACTTTTATTTTTAAGGATCCGTTTTAATACCCTGTTTACTTTCATGGGACTCTTCTAATACCTGCCTTGGCTGTGAGCGTGTCACAGGTCAGGAGCGGGCGAGCACTTTCCTCCCGGGGCTCACGAGGGCAGGGCAAGTAGTGACTGCTCTCTAAGTGACTCTGCGACCTGCCCCCAACAACGGGTGGGGTCCCACGTCATTCCCTTCCTTGCCCTCAGCTTCTCCATCTGTGTTTGCCCTGCTCCGGGTCCTCTCTGGGCTGCCTCCTCCTCCCCCTTCATCCTCACGTACAGAGTGCACGCCTGGACCCCCACAGGACCCACCGCAGCCTAGCCCTGGCTTTGCCCCTCCATATTAATGGCAGGCTCTCGAGGGACCCTGACTCCCCTAGCTCAGATTCTCTCGGAGGCACCCACAGTGCCCTGGGCTCACCTTTATCCCAACACCTTTCTCATGCCAGGTGGACTCTGAGTGGAAAAAATATAGATGGAGCAGGGGGCAGACTCCTACAGTACCCGGCCTGAGAGACGCCTTTTTGCGGCCACAGTTCCGTGACAGATGACAATGAAGTCAACCTCCATTTTTCCGGGCCTAAAATAAAACAGTTACACTGGTAGCAATCATTCATTTAATGAATTAAGATTAAAAATAAGCCTGGCCAATATGGTGAAATCCCATCTCTACTAAAAAAAGATACAAAAATTAGCCGGGCCTGAGGGCGGGTGCCTGTAATACCAGCTACCTGGGAGGCTGAGGCAGGAGAATCGCTTGAACCCGGGAGGCGGAGGTTGCAGTGAGCCAAGATCGCACCACTGCACTCCAGCCTGGAGGACAAGAGCAAGACTTCGTCTCAAAAAAAAAAAAAAAAAAGATTAAAAATAAAATTTTGACAGGTTTGTACTCCTCTTCTTCACACGCACCTCCCTGAAACGTGTGGCCACCGGCCCATCTCCTCCTGTGTCATCATGTGGGACCTTTGCTTCTCCATGTTCTCAGCCTGGGTCTGTGTCCCATCTTCACTTGCCACTACCATGGCGCTTTGTCCCTCTCAGGTCCCTGAGGAGTCCCACCTGCCTGCCCACATCCCAAGACCTATTTCTATTTCCTTTGATCAGTTACCTATCCCGCCTTTTCCTGCTGCCTTACCTATTCTATACACATTGCTCACCTTTGTTTCTGTTCAAGGCAGTCACTACTGTAAAAAGACAATGTCAGGCCTCACTTAGGTCTGAGCTGAGGGCCTGGGAAAAGCGAGGTTGTCCTCCACCACAGAGAAGCTGGTGTCCTTGGAGAACCACGGACACCCTAAAACCTGCAGATCACACAGAGCTTACTACGGAGTCAGTTAAACTGTAAGTATACACACATCGAACAACAAGGAATACCCACTGTAGTTAGGGTGTCAGCGCCTTATCCTGCCTCCCTAAGAAATAGGACAAAACCAGAGAATGGAGTAGTGAAGAAAATGTGTCCGTTTTGATTCAATCTGATCTTTTTCGTTTTATCTCCTGGTAGCACCATTGGTCTGTTGGTTCCCAGCCTGTGATTCCCACACCACACCGGCCGTCAGGATGGATAATTTCATGTTTCTGGTTTGTCTATGAAAAGCAGAGGAGTCACAGCCCAACGCTGGGATATTCATCAACTGTGTCTCCCCAGCTCCAGCTCTCCCGGTTCCACATAGAGTAATGCACATACCTGTGTAATGTTTGAATTTAAGGAGTGTCACCCTCCTCCCATTTGCTGTCTGTGAAATGCTGGCGGCAGCAGGGGTTTTTCTGGAATCGTCTTCCATCCCTCTGCAGTCTCGCTGCTGTGGAGCAGGGGAAGATAGATGTGGACCGTCCTTGCCTCTTGGTAGGAAAGGAACATCTGACTTGAAAAGTAACCTGCAAAACCTCCCCCAGCTGTGGAACACACCTGCGCTGGGTTACTCACTCTGTCACGTGTTTAGACACCTTTGGCTGTGGGAACTCCTATTTAACTCTTTCCAGCCAACTGTGGGTGGACTCCGTGAATAAGGTATTTTTAGAGGTTAGGGCTGCTATTTTTGACCTTACACAATAAAAGCTATCACAGTGTGTGTCCTGTTCTGAGCATATTTCCCTGTTATCTCATTTAACAGAATGCTAATCTGTCTAGGAGCCCATTTCACAAGTGTTCCGTTTGTGATGTACGTTAAAATAGACATGGCGCTAAGCGTAACTCAATGTGCACCATGTTCTGTGATTTACAAAGAATTTTCCTGCATATTATGTTTTTTAATTTCACAGCTCAGTGAGGTGGGCAAAAGCAGTATTACCATCCTCATTTAACAGATTAAAAAGTGAAAGCTAAGCGATTATACTTGGTCAATAAAACACACTTAATCTCTGCCCTCTACAGCTAAATAATCTACTGGGAGAGAAGATGCTGAACAAATAAACACACAAACTATCTGTCATTGAAAGTTGAATAAAGGCTAATAAGAGGAAAGAAGAGACTATGAGAGACAATGACAGGTGAGAGCTAATTTAGATTGGGGGCAGAGAGGACATCAGAGGAAGTGATACTTAGAGTCGAGAGATGAAGCTAGATGAAGAGTCGGGAGATGACTCCCAGTCCAGGACTCCCTCCACTGGCAAGATGCACACCTCTAATGGTGGTGATCTTCCCCGCACAGAGCACGTCCCACTCCTCTTCCCATAAGATTCCTAAATATCTTTCCGTTAGGAACGTCATCACAGCTAGAATAGTCCCTTCTCCTGGGAGTACCAGCCATCTGGGCAGGCAGGGTTCGGAGCTCATGCCTGTGGTCAGCAAGCTTAGTACAGTATGAGTCTTCCTTTCCTCGTCCCCTCTTTCCTTATCTTCTGATCTTACTGGTTGTGGAGAAAGGTGTATTGCCAGCCTTGAGAAAAGAGACAGATATCATTTGTGGAAGTAATGCATTGAATGTGTGCTGAGGGGGGTCAATGTTTGCTCCTGGGAAACTAGAGATATAGTAACAATAACACAGCCTGAGCAACGTAGTGAGACCCCATCTTTACAAAATAGAAAGTAAAACAATTAGTCAGGTGTGGTGGTGCATACCTGTAGTCCTAGCTACTTGGGAAGCCGAGACAGGAAGATTGCTTGAACCCGGGAGGTTGAGGCTGCAGTGAGCTATGATCACACCACTGCACTCCAGCCTGGGAAACAGAGAGAAACCCTGTCTCGAAAAAAAATTATAATAATAATAAGAGCTAACATTGGCTAAGAGTCACTGTGTCTCAATATTGTACCGAGTGCTGTACAAGTATTAACTCATCTGATCCCTTCAGCAACACTGGGTCTGTGTGCTACGATTACCATCTTTGGTTTACTTACTAGGAAACCGGGGCAAGGTCACATGGATAGCAAGAGGTAGAACCAAGACTGCAAGAATTTCATTACCATGCTCTGCGGCTGTCCGCATGGCCTATAAATGACTCCATGATCAGTAGCAGGATGATTTATTGAGATATTAATTTGCATTGAGTTCTCTGTATTTTTCTTCCGCCTGCTCCCCTCCTGGGTTTCAAGAAGTTAGTGAGGCCCTTTAGGGTTCCCGCCTATCCATCCTCTAAGCACAGGGTGGAAGCTGCTGGCATGCGTTATCTTGCCTTTTGAGATCCTGCCTTGTTCTCACTGGTGAGAGGTGATGCTGGGAGACAAGGTGGAGGAAGAGGAGCGCAGCCGAGGGTTGGGTGAGGACTGGGCATTCAGGCCTCTCTGTGCAGCACCCCAGGGAGGTGGCTAAAGCTCAGAGGGACTTGATGATTCATGGTGCTTCCAGGAGGCTGACCCAGTACCAGGATGCCCTGAGCTGGTTAAGTCCCTCAAAGAACTTGGTGAGGATGCAAAGCCTCAAGTGTCTATGCAGGCGTGGATGATACAGGTATTGGCAGAATACTTGAACTGATAATCAGAGGCCTGGCCTCTTTTCTAGGCACCTTCTAGGTCTGCTGGATTATCGTTCAACCCCCACTCGTGGTGGCAGTGGTGTGGGTGGGTGGGTGGTCATGATGGTGGCCATGGTATTGCGGACGGGGAGGAATGCACCAATGACACCTTAGAATAAATCCATCTCAGGGTGGAGGCAGGGTGGAGGCATGGTGGAGGCAGGAGAGGAGGGTTCAGAGCCTGGTTTTTGTTTTGAGACGGAGCCTCGCTCTGTCACCCAGGCTGGAGTGCAGTGGTGTGATCTCCGCTCACTGCAAGCTCCGCCCCCTAGGTTCATGCCATTCTCCTGCCTCAGCCTCCTGAGTAACTGGGACTACAGGCGTCCACCACCACGCCTCGCTAATTTTTTTTGTATTTTTAGTAGAGACGGAGTTTCACCATGTTCGCCAGGATGGTCTCAATCTCCTGACCGTGTGATCCACCCACCTCAGCCTCCCAAAGTGCTAAGATTACAGGCGTGAGCCACTGCACGCGGCCCAGAGCCTGGTTTAATTTGAATTAAAGAAAATGAATTTGTGAAGTCACACTCATACTTGCTACAAATACCACAAGCTTCACAAAATTGCCATTCTCCTGGAGTGTGGACTCTCCCTTGAAAATTCACAGAACTCAGAACCAAAACCAATGCCCGAGCATCTGTACCATGTCCCATGGCTCTCTGTTCACTCCTGGCTTGGCCTGCAACTGGGTCTCTAATAATGCAGCAATTCTACCCGCTGGGTTGCAGGCCCAACAAGGCTGAAGGACGTTTGCTCGGTGGGTGCTCAATAGACTTGGTGATTCAAAAGAGAGTCCTTTTAAATCACCTTATACTACGTACTGCATACTACCAAAGCTAAGCATGTCTTTAATTTTGCATACATTTATCCATTGCATTCTTTCCTGCCATTTGCAAACTATTACCATTACAGTCATATGTCCCTTAAAGACAGG